CAAAGTGGGTTCGAAGAGCTTACTCGCCCCCTATACTCGCCAGACAGAGACCCAAGTGATTTCCTCCTGTTTCCTGAACTGAAAGAATACCTTCGTGGAAAGCGCTGTTACGACAACGATTACCTCAAAGCTGCCGTGAATGGGTTTTTCATGGTGTACAATCAGACTTCAAGTACTTCGGACAACGAATCCCTCAGTTATATATTTTGATTTTACATATGTCTTGCATTTAAAACTATACCCAAGATACAGTTAAATGTGTTCAATCATACTGTATGATACTGTATGTCCCGATGTGTTTTATATAGCATCTGAAATATTTCTGATATATAGAGGAAATATGCGTGAATCATTGCGCAACAAGTTGACAATTCTTTTAGGTATGCCCGTTTGGCGTTAAACGGAACACAGTCGCAAAAATGGCCACGAGAGGAGCACGAGTCGCTATTCGGCTTGTCCCGGAATAACACGAGTTGGTCACGAATGTCCAACCACGACAACGACTAACAACAACAACCTAGTACTGAGAAGGACCCGGATACCCACAGGACTACCAGGAACTATATGGTTACACTACAAGTCACTAATGTTTGCATTTCTTTCTGACTATGCACAAAGACTTTCATATGTTTGAATAAAGATAAAACTTCAGTCAACGTCAGTGTATGCATGACCAGATCGATTCATACGTGTATCTAAATACATTTTGTCCAGGGCTACAGTCAAACTATTCCCAATCGGACATTTTGTACCTATCTCTTGAGACCAACAGTGGGTACCCGGGTAGGGTCGGGTAATAGGTGGGTGGGTACCCGGGTAGTAAATTTGGACTCGTCCCAGCCCTAATAGAAGAATTATATAAATACACATCTGATCGCAATTCAAAGAATTTCTCAGTGAATATGACATTGTAGGTTTATGTGAAACTTTTGTCAAGAAACAAATCGATATCTGAAATCAAAGAAATATGTGATGAGCTTTACATGCCTTTCACTGATGAATAAGTCATAATTTAAAAATAATGAATCTCCAGGGCCACAAAGTGAGTTTATGAAATCAACAATACATTATATTGACACCAATTTAAAAAAAATGTTCAACATAATCCTTTACTCGTTAGTTTTTTGCAGAGGTGTGGGGAAAGAGAATAACCTTCCCAAATTCAAGGGAGGTAATAAGTATGAACCAGATAATTACAGGTGAATATCATTCTTTATGTAAGGTATTGACTTCCGTTCTAGACAGACGTCCCTAGTCCTGGTGTGACAATAACAATATCTCAAGTAACACACAAGCAGGTTTTGGACCAGGATACTCCACCATAGTCCAAATAGTTACTCTTCCCGCTACTGTACAGAAATACGCCAACAAGACTAAGGGTAGATTTTACTGCATCTTTACTGACTGTTCGAAGACTTTCGACAGGGTAAACCACAACATTCTTTAAAAAATGTTTAAATCGAGTAGGAATAAATGGGAACTTTCTACGATTCTAGCATCGATGTACTCTAAGTTATCGTCATGTGTTCGAATGAAGGATGGTCTTTCTGATTATTTCACCTGAAATGTCGGCATCCATCATGAATGTGTTTTGAGCCCAAAACTTTTTATTATCTTTTTAGATGAACTCACAGTGATGTTGGAAAGAAATGCAGGTCAAGTCTTATGTATTAGTCCTGGGATACTACATTTACCTGCATTATTACACGCAGACGAAGTGTCATCTGTTGCGGACAGTTCTTGAAAATGTCTGTGTAACCGCTGGAATGAAAGGAAATCTAAATTCGACGAGGTTGAATATTGAAAAGCTCCGAAAAATGTTATTTCAAAGGGAAAAAAATTGAAGTTGTGAATTTTTATAAATATTTAGGAACCGTTTTCACCCCCGTCGTGGAGTAAGGCCTTCAGTGGCCTAACAGCTCAAGCAAACAAATCAATCAGATTCAACCACTTCTATCAAAAGGAAAATGGATGCCTATCATTTCAAGATGCCTTTAAATATTAGACAGTGTTGTCGTTCCGATCTAGTGCTACGGAGCTGAAGTACATCGTACAACAAATTAATTAATAATGGAAACGGTAATTTCGTCTCTCTAAGAGTGAGTGAGTGAGTTGGGTTTAACGCCGCTTTAAACAGTATTCCAGTTATATCACGGCGTGTCAGCTTAATGTGGGAGGAAAGCCCGAAGTGATGCAGGTCTCAGACGTTTACAACTCCGGTGAAGCCCACGAGCACGGGTATGGTGCTGACAAACCTAGAAACATAATCGGGGCGAACCGGGATTCGAACCCACAATCATAGGTTTCTGGCGTGCCCAAGGGACGCAACTCTGCACAGCGAATCGCGGCGCCTTAGACGACTGGGTCAACCGTGCCCCCCGTTTCTCTAAGAAAACACCCTATCATGTGGTACTTGGGAAGTGTGGAAGTCTCTCCCAGTCTATCTATATGACAAGAGCAGTAAAATATTGGTCTTCATCTTGACACTCACAGATTACCTCGTCAAGCCTTCTTAATGCTAAAATCCCTTGATGTGGTGGGAGGGGGACATGGGCTTCAGCAATTAAAAACATTTTGTTCAGCTTAGTTTTTGACTGGTCTGGTTACAACAAGAAATAGGCGATATAACATTATTCCTAAATGAATTTCAGCAAAGAGTATCAGATAGCCTGTATCAAAACTGGCATTCTTCAATAGAACTATCTTGGAAATGTAATTACTATGTACAGTACAAATCTATGTTGAATACGGACCGTTATTTAACAAATGACATTCCATATTATATTAAGATATTTATTTCAAACTTTAGATGAAATAATTTCCGTTTAAATGTTTCGGAACCCGAGAATACCTTGGGTCGTTTTGCGGTGTATTCGCGATTTTAACAAACAAATCAAGCCTCGGGCTGGATCCAGCGAGAGGGAAATCAGCGAGTGCTCGGACCAATGAGAGTCTTGATTGCACACACGGCATTTTATCCCGGCCAACATGTACATGGCACAACCTTGTGGCACGGCCATTAGTCTTACAGCTTGCGAACCATGTTATTTCTCCTCCGTCCAACCCTATCTGTAACGCAAAAGCACCAAATGAAGCAAGTCTAGATATTCCTCAGGTCCTGAATCTCCCACCTCTCTTGGGCGCCCATTCGATTTATATAGTTATTTGTTTCTTTCAAAATTATGTATCTTCAGAGACGCAGCGTTAGTCCAGGTAGCCATATACTCTACACATTGCTTCAACACTAGGCAACGGTAGGCTTCGCTCAAAATTCATGCATGGAGTTTGATTCAATTGAATCATGGTCTCCGTCCATTACCTGGCTTAATATAGACTCACCGATGACGTCATAATGGTCAGCAAAGCATTGTGATGAACGCTTAATCTCACCCTTTGGAAGCAATATCTCTTGATAAAACCAGTTCTGGGTGACAAATATTAAGCCCCCAAACCATAGTTGCTTTGCAACTTAATAATAAAAAAACATTATTACCGTAAATAACTCTGGTAAACACGATTATGATCATGACTGCAGTGAATACGACATTCTACCATACATTTGGATATTACTCGATTCTGATTGGTCAATCAGAGGTTTTCAAATTACAATAAACCCCTTCCGATTGAAACCACCGATTTTGCGTTACAATTCTCTATATGACGTCATAAGTTACGAAACATTGCTCATCTTGTTTAGAGGTGCCCTCTTCATGGTAATGTACGAAGTTGCTGTGCCACATGCTTCAATCCCTGTCATTATCGAGCGAAGTACTACGATGTAGCGATATGCCTGATTTGAATAGACGCCTGCCTTGACTTACTTACTTACTTACTTTGGAGATTTAACGTGCGCTTTCCGACTGATGCGTATTTCGCACACGGGCCCGGCCAGGCCATTTAATGTGTTGCCTGCCTTGAATAGACACCTGCCTTAAGTAGACGCCTGCCTTGAGTTGACGCCTGCCTTGAATAAGCGCCTGCCTTGTATAGGTGCCTGCCTTGAATGTAGACGCCTGCCTTGAATGTAGACACCTGCCTTGAGTTGACGCCCGCCTTGAATAGGTGCCTGCCTTGAATGTAGACGCCTGCCTTGAATGTAGACACCTTCCCTTAGGAGACGCCTGCCTTGAATGTATACGCCTGCCTTGAATAGACACCTGCCTTGAATGTAGACACCTGCCTTAAGTAGACGCCTGCCTTGAATGTATACGCCTGCCTTGAATAGACACCTGCCTTAAGTAGACGCCTGCCTTGAATGTAGACGCCTGCCTTGAATAGACACTTGCTTTGAGTTGACGCCTGCCTTGAATAGACGCCTGTCTTGAATAGACGCCTGCCTTGAATAGACGCTTGCCTTGAATAAACGCCTGCCTTGAACATACTCGCGAAATAAATAAAAGCCTTCCTCGAAAACGCCTGCCAGTTCAAATCTCTAAATATAGATATTTCTTTAGTTACTCATTAAAGTGATATTTGAATGAATGTAGCCACACGCGTGTTATTTAAGTTATACGTCTTCTTCAGCGTTTACCGTAATTAAAAAAAATAGACACCCGCTTTGAATAGACGCCTGCCGTATGACCTCTTTTAACGAAATATCAATAGAAATCCGAGAGGCTATTCAATGAACTACGGTACGTACGTGTGTGTATCGTGTTGCATGTTATATCGCTGTCCTGGTACAGAGTGTGAAGCCATGGAGTGATGGAGCATGGGACGACACGGAGCTGGTCGGTAAGCATCACACTGATCCACATGTTCATGACGTTTTATCGTGTTTTACTGTGTCCACAGGAAACACATTCAATGTTTTATAGTTGAAAGCACGGATACCGTAAAAAGAGGAATTGTTTATGGTGTTTGTGAGTTTGACAAGTGTGTTATGGTGGCTTTAACTGCCTGCTACATCATGGTTTTATTACTGTCAAATTGGATGGGATTGAATTCAGTTTAATTGTATAATGGCTACGGTTAGGTTTAACATGCCCCATTAAAAATGTGTCATGTTAATATGCTGCACCAGCTCGGATGCTGTAAAATGGAAACAGAAGCATGCACGAAGGGCCGACTCCCATGCTAAAATGTGGTTACTTGTTAACAGGATAGGTGTCTACGATTCAGCGCACGTTCGTAATGTGTTATATAAATCGCTCGCTACATGAATATTGCGTTATTGTAGCGTGCTATTGTACCGAATGTCAGACATTTCTATACACGGGGCATGGATATGCACGATCGTTGGATTCGGATTTGAACACATGCAAAATCCATCTTCTGGAACGTGGCAAAGTAGAAGAGGGGGGATCAGTCAGTTTACGTGGGGGAGGAGTTATTGACCATCTCGTGGAAGGTAAGACCTATACGATTTGTTTGTTTGTTTGTTGTTTAATGCCGCACTCACTAGTATCACAGCAATATTCCAGCTATATGACGGCGGTCTGTAAATAACTGAGTCTGGACCAGACAGTCCAGTGATTGACATCATGAGCATCGATCCACGCAATTGGGATACGATGACATGTATGAGCCAAGTCAGCAAGCCTGACCACCCGATTCCCCGTTAGTCGCCTCTTACGACAAAAAGCATAGTCGCCTTTTACGACAAGCATGGGTTGCTGAAGACCTATACGAACTTAGGGATGCAGGTTTGGGACAAACTCCAGAATGCCTGTATCAAAGAAAAACTTAGGGCGGAGTACAAATATAGACTTTTAAAAATCTGGAGTTCAGAGCTGAACGTCAAAACCACAAACACTTATGCTGACTCGTCTTTTCGTTTTCTTTCGGAGTTGTTGACGAAACAATAAATGGAGGGTATTGACACCCTCACACGAAGAATCATGTAAGCTGATGATGAGCTTAAAACGACGATGCGCTTAAAACGCCTTCGTCACTCAAAAAACGTTAGTAATACATCGCATGTCTGCTCTAGCAATTGTCAATCCAAAAAAATATATCAAATGATTGAATGAGTGAGTGAGTTGGGTTTAATACCCGAGCACAGGTATGGTGCCCGTGAACTTCTGCGGAAAAACTGTCGCCATGCCACAGCCACAGTGAACCAGTTCATGGACGACTGGGCGACACATGTCGCCTCCTGTTGTGAAGCAATAGCCTGTTGCTATTTTCTGCATGACCGACAGTCACCTGCTTAGTACCGTCTATGCTGTTCTAGACTGAAGGGAAGATAAGGTAGACTACATGGAGAATCACCCGTGAAGATCCGGGGTAGAATAGGTCTTCAGCAACCCATACTGGCGGTAAAAGGCGGCTAACGAGATCGGGTGGTCAGGCTTGCTGTCTTAGTTGATGCATGTCATCGTATCCCAATTGCATGGATCGATGCTTATGATGTCAGTCACTGTATTGTCTTGTCCAGACTCGATAATTTACAGACCGCGGTCATATAGCTGGAATATTGCTGAGTGCGGCGTTAAACGGCAAACAAACAAATCTGGAGAATCAGAGCAGACGATTCAATATTATCTTCTACGGGGTAGCCAGGCCTGCGGAGGGCGAAACAAGTGATGACGGAGAATGAAGTGCGTGAGATCATTAAGGATAAGTCACCGATGACTTATCGAGATTGGTCAGGGAAAAAACCTCAAACTTATGATAACGAAAGCCGGAGAAGAAAATAACAGGTTTGTTCTGCTCCATGACAAACTGATTATTGATGATCAAGTTTTCACACATCACATCACATCAACAAGGATTGTGTTACACAGTCAGAACGGCGACGGGATTCTCGATCTGCACGTGCAGAATGTCAACACTGAATCACGTGACACCACATTGGAATATGGCCGGGCTCACAACAGCGATATTGACAACGATGCTGACACTGTATCTGTGAATGATGACGAGAGTGGCTGCTAACGTATTAAACATTTTTTATGTCGAGGAACATGAGTGGCTTAAGGAGTAAGCTGGATAATGCTGAACTAATTTATTTCTGGTCAGAGTCAGAGTTTGATATTTAAAAAAAAAAAATTAAGTTTGGAGAAACTGTGAGAAATACATTATGCAGCGGTGTTATTATGTTATTGCGTTTAAGTTAATTATAGAGAAAGAAAACCTCGAGTCGGTTTGGCTGTATGTGTTCGTTCTGAATTCGAACGCTATATCAAGTATGTTTGTTTGGATTACACTGATATTATATTGGTAGTTTTTGAGAAACATTTGTTCAGTTCATTCTATGATAATTACATATTTGTATTCACATATATTCATTGTATTGTCTACTCCGTGGTAACAGATGTTACACCACTGCAAGGTATAGAGTATCTCAGGACCCAATCCGACCCGAGTTACCCGTCCCGACCCTACTTTGAGGACATGGACTATGTGTCTGATTCCTATGACACTCCCAGACGAAGCCGTGATGATATGTAATGAATATGACAAGGAACTCCTAGATTCGTGTTCAACCCGTAACATTCACATGTTGAATGGGAGATGTCCAGTTGATACTGAGGTAGATTTATTGTATTGAAGGAGACGGTGCAAGTGTGGTTGATGCATGGTTGTGTTCAAGTGGCTTGTTTAACTGAGATATCGACTTTACTGTACGTACACGGCGCGGTTCTGACCATTTTCGAATCGTTGTATCATTGCAAGTAAGTGCAGGCCATAGTTCAACGGTAGTTCAACGTAGCGCTGCACTGTAAAACCATACCGTAATATTTTACGGTAAAAGGTTGGCAACCGTGCTGACGCGCATTTACCGTAGTACTACAGTATATACCGTAGTACTTTTATACTGTACTTTTTACAGTAAATGACCGTCAGCACGGTTGCCAACCTTTTACCGTATTAAAACCATTCTTCTACCATTACTACAGTAATTTACTGCTGAATAGTGAATGTACAAAATCACTTGAACAACAGATTTGTCAGAAAACAAGTTTTATTCAGTTAACTGACTGGGTATTTATATGATCAGTAAACAAATACCTTCTGCAATTTGTGAAATAAAGTGAGTGAGTCATTGATTAAATAGACTAATAATAACAACTCAGAACTGCAATCCTGCACAAGAAAGTATTTTCTCCTTAACATTACCAGTTACTTTATGACATGAAACAGATGATAAATATAAGTATGTTAACTTAACATGGCTTGATGTACTCGAAGTGATCTACATGCCCAGTTTACAGGAACTAAAAGTGATGTACACACTCAGTTTACAGGTACCATAAGTGATGTACAAAATCAGTTTACAGGTATTCAAAGTGATGTACAAAATCAGTTTACAGGAACTAAAAGTGATGTACACACTCAGTTTACAGGTACCATAAGTGATGTACAAAATCAGTTTACAGGTACCATAAGTGATGTACAAAATCAGTTTACAGGTACTCAAAGTGATGTACAAAATCAGTTTACAGGTACCATAAGTGATGTACAAAATCAGTTTACAGGTACCATAAGTGATGTACAAAATCAGTTTACAGGTACTCAAAGTGATGTACAAAATCAGTTTACAGGTACTCAAAGTGATGTACACACTCAGTTTACAGGTACCATAAGTGATGTACAAAATCAGTTTACAGGTACCATAAGTGATGTACACACTCAGTTTACAGGTACTCAAAGGGATGTACAAAATCAGTTTACAGGTACCATAAGTGATGTACAAAATCAGTTTACAGGAACTAAAAGTGATGTACACACTCAGTTTACAGGTACCATAAGTGATGTACAAAATCAGTTTACAGGTACCATAAGTGATGTACAAAATCAGTTTACAGGTACCATAAGTGATGTACAAAATCAGTTTACAGGTACCATAAGTGATGTACAAAATCAGTTTACAGGTACTCAAAGTGATGTACAAAATCAGTTTACAGGAACTAAAAGTGATGTACACACTCAGTTTACAGGTACCATAAGTGATGTACAAAATCAGTTTACAGGTACTCAAAGTGATGTACAAAATCAGTTTACAGGTACTCAAAGTGATGTACACACTCAGTTTACAGGTACTCAAAGTGATGTACAAAATCAGTTTACAGGTACTCAAAGGGATGTACAAAATCAGTTTACAGGTACTCAAAGTGATGTACAAAATCAGTTTACAGGTACTCAAAGTGATGTACACACTCAGTTTACAGACACTCCAAGTGATGTACAAGCTGAGTTTACTGGCACTCCAAGTGATGTACATGCTCAGTTAACTTTCTCTCTAATTTGACAAACTTCATAAAACATCTAATGGTGATCCAATGAACTATGATATCCTTAGTTTCATTGAAAACAATTAAATCTATCATAGCAAAACAGAATACCACTGAAACTTCAGGTTTCAGGTTTTAAGCTACATAAAAAAATTACGGCAATCTGCAGCAACTCTCAAAATTTAAACAATGCAGCCCACTTTAACAAGTGAATTAAATATCTAATTTGCAGTTTTTATGTAAATGTTGCTAACACCTATCATTGATTTTTACTTATTAAAACTCTGATATCCTTACCTTCATTGAAAATAATGAAATCTGCCACCAATATACATTAACAGCACATTAAAATAGGACTTAAGGGTTCTAGTTCAGTCATGCTTAAATCTTCAAGCAAGTTACAGTCACTAATCATGATCATGTAGTCACTATACAGCTCATGATAAATAAAACACCTTGGTTAAAGATAAAATTTGCATTACCAGTCTGCTTTACATTTATCAAGTGGAAATAATAAATCTTTAACTATTTCCATAAAACAATAACTGCAAACTCATTACCACTCGTAGTTCAGCATGTAAAACAACAACTTAAAGCTGTATTAGATATATAAGTTACAGTTCCTTGCGATCACTTTATGGTTCAAGCCACTCAAAGTCAGAAAGGCTGCTGATCAGCTTCAATACTTTGGCACCCATCTGAGTTTTCTTCTTTTTCCCTTTATTGCCTTTGGATCCCCTATCAGGATTGATACCAATGAAGCACCTGAAAAAAACAAAGGAAGATTCACTGCCATAATGTTCTGGCTACATATATTCACTTTGTCAAGTAAATTTAACATTTAACAATGGACTTAGCAGGGGCGTAGTCAATCTTCAAAGGTCAAATCCAGGTTTAATACCAAAATACAGCAAAACTAGTCAAATGTGTTTGTGGCCTTTGTGCTAGCTACCACCACTGCAATTTTCAACTCAATTGCTTAATCAATGTCTGACCAAAAAAAACAAAATGGTATTGGCGGCCATATTGGGAATCTGATCCGAATGCCTTGAACACATCTGAGTGTCATCATTGGTTTGGAACACACCAAGCTTCAGCTTCATCGGCCCAGTAGTTTTGAAGACGACCTTTTCAGCATTTTCAATATGGCTGCCATGACCTTTGGTCCAGGTGGGCTAAAAAGCAACCAAACAGTAGTCTATCCCCCAAAATACAAAATATAAATGGAATCTCATTTGCATGCTACAAATAATTTTCATTTTACCGAATTACCTCAGAAAATAGATAAACTGCAGAACCGATGCTAGAATTGTTGAGTGTTTCTGCAACCAATCTTCCTTGGTTTTAAATGTCCCATTTGTGTTTAGAAAAATACTTCATGGAAAATTTTCTTAACATATCACACATTTAAATATCATAGAAATTTACCTTTGAATGAACTCAAGTGTAGCTGCAGCCCCGGTCTGGTATTGCAGGTTGAAGATGTAGTATGATGCAAAGAGGGCTGAGAACGAATCCATGAAACTGTGACATCTTGGGATGAGGATTTGGCGGTCACACATTACCATGTAGCTCTTCCCAGCTAATACAGAGTCACCTGTACATATTTAAGTTGAAAATCATAAGGCCTTTTCTTTTTTTATTTGTTGAATCACAGATTTGTTTTTAACTGAAGTAAGATGTGAGGGGCATTTTAAGAAAGTATATTGTCATTCGGTCCAGGTGGGCTAAAAATAATGGTCATTTTGAATGTCGCCATCTCTGCCACAGAAAGCAGAAGCCCATTCCACAAAACAACCTCACGCTAAGATGATCTTAAAGAGATCATCTAAAACTAGGCCTTGACGAGTCATTTCACATCACAGGCTTACGAAGGTCGTAGCGTGAAGGTTGCCTTGCCTTGGGGACCCGTTTTCAATGCGATTTTCACACCATGACCATAGCAAGCCACTGGAATGCAGTATTACCCACAATCATCTTAGTTTTAGTTTGTTTTGTGGAACCGCAGCCTGGTCTACATATGACAAGGACAATGTGCAATGGAATCGCGGAATCCAGGGGGTCTGCAAGTTTTCACCACATCCAAGAGTAGACTACAGTCACTGTACACAATGTTACAGTAAACAAACTCCCATTGTAAACAACTGACATGCCAACAATTGATTCAACATACCCAAAACCACCAACACAGGTGAATCTGTTTAACTGGAAGCCTGGACTTCTGCAGCAGTTGATGTTTCCTTAAGAAACAAGTGTTAAAACCTTTTATTTTCAGAAGAGTAACCATTTTAGTGAATTTAGCTTTGGTAAATGAAGTACATGAAAAGAGATGGAATGTAATACTAGAATAACAAGAACAATTAAAAGCTTCAAATAAAATATTTTCTTAAAAGACATCTTTTATATTCATTTGACAAATAATCAATATGGACTTAAGGAATGCTAGATATATATGTATTTATCTGAACGGATAATTTGTTGATGTGAATATCTAGGAGATTGCTTTAACAGAGTGCCCTTAAATAGCTCTCAGTTTTTAATCTTTTTCTAACCAAAGACCCAAGAAAGGTTCCAAAATCAAAATCTGCCTACATCATGTACATCTAAGAATATTTTAAACCTTAGACAATCACTAATCAGCTAACCCCCATACCCATAACCCCTCTACCTCAGAGATATAGCTGTCATAAAATGCATGCAAAATGTGTCTGTGCATCCCATAAATTCAGAAATTTACAGTCCCTGGTGATTGGGCAGGTAGCAAGTGTATTATATTCATAATATTAATTCCAGAAGTTAAAATACTGGGAAAATTGATCAAGATTCAGCAACCTGTATATTGAACTTACATCTACAACATAGAAAAGCTCTTCATCCTTTTCTCCAAGGTGTCCCATTATGCACAGTACCACTGCCGACAACCAAGCCTTCAGGTTATCTTGACTACTCTGTCGTCGTGCTTCATCAAAGATGAATTCATTTCCATCAGATGATTTCCTGAAGAAATTGTTTAGTCGAGGTCCTTTCTTGGCGTATGCATTTCCCAGAGCGGATCGCACATTAAAACCAAGTAATTCCTGGGAGTGACACAGAACTCCTTGAATACTGAACAGAAATGGCCATGATAATTTGAGATCCACCACTGACATTCCACTATTGATGTCCCTTCTCTGCAGAGCATAACATGACAACATGTTCTCTTCTATCTTGTTCACATCTTTTTTGTCAGAATTACACTGATTCATCTCAATCAGGGCATCCCTGATTTCCTCCATGACCTTCACTTTATCACCTTTCAACTCTGGCATCCATTTAACACAACCATAGGAATCCCTCCTTGTTTTGACTTCATTTCTGGAATCGTCACTACCAGATTCAGTTTCTGTATTCTGCATAGGCCGTTTCTTTCCTGACATGCAGAATTTTGAGGATCCGCGATTCAGATTTTGGTTCCTGGTCACTAATTTGTTTAACAAAGTGTCATACCCAGAGCCCACCACACTGTCATCAATTTTGTCTTGAAGACTTTGTGTATACTTAGCTACCATCCTTTGTGCAATGATCGAAAACTGAGGTCGGAGGGCATGATGTGTGTTTCGTCTTACAACATCCACAACCTTATGTACAACCTCCTTCTTGGCATCTGGTGTTAAGCGTTTACCCTGTACAAGGGCCTCCTTGGTTAAACAGTTCAGATCATCCCAGGGAAGTTCCATCTTAACCGGCCAATTGGGGTCTCGATTTGAATACATGATGGGTTTCGGACTTTTCGGTGAAAACTTCATGGACGAATCACTCGATGATGGCGAAGTAGGTGACAAAGGTGACATGGAAGAACAGCTACTTCCTGGAACTAATATTAATAGAAGTTAAATGTTGTTAATCTCAAATCAATGTCGCAGTGAGAAATACAGGAAGGGTGCTTGTTGGTGGGGTGGTGGTCTATGTGAGATGGGTGTGAGATGGGTGGTGGTTGGTGTGAGATGTCACAAATCTTGGGTATGTTATCATACATGGGTGACCATTTAATAATAGGTGTGTTACAATATAGGTGGGCCGATACTTACTGTGAACATTAATCGAGACATCATTAACTAAATTGGACAGGTGAAGGAAAAGGGAGCCGCCACTAACAGATGCAGTTCGGTAAAGTAAGCTGCACGAGAAGGGTTAACTGTTTCCAAATTTCCGAAAAAGACATTTTCTTTGCAAGACAATAAAATTGTGTTAAAAGTTTTTTCCTCGAAAGAATCGAATGTTGAAATACATTAAAAATAGATGTTATCTGTCAGGGAACTGAAAAAAAGTCAGGTATTAAGTTTTTTTACACAAGAAACATTTAAAGTAGAGGCAATGAATGCTAAATTCAAACACCCTCATCTGACATACGGAAAAGATTACATATATCTATTCAGATGATTGCTTACCAGCTAATATTCTGGTGGAACTCTGCATCAAGGATCTTCTCAAAAGTTTCCGTGCATGGACAGGTCGAATGTTTCCCTTCAGATCGTCTTCATGGATCCACTCTAAATCCTGAATGGTTACAACACCAAGTTTCTCCAACTCCTGAACAATTTCAGAGATAACACTTTCTTCCAAATTCCCCAATATGTCAACTACACTTTTTCTCAATGTTGCCCTTAGTCCATAGTCTGATACAGCTTTAGGACTTTGTGGAATATTGCCACTTTCACAACATATTTCCATTTGATCCATAGTGTTCTGTTCCATTGTGTTAGACTGAAATAGCTTGTCTCAATGACAAGAAGTTTGTTCCAGCTTCCTGGTACACAGCAACAGGGCAGTAATCTGCAAATTCAGTAATGGAGTTACATACTAAATTGCCAGTGTTTAAATCCTCCTCACATGCAAATAGTTCCATTGCAGGGACAAAGAAAAATACTCCACGGCTAACAACTAAATACAACTGCTCATTATTGACTAACATGCTTTGAATTTTTCCAATTGTTAACTCTGATACACTTGACTGATTTATTATCATGATATCTCCAATTCTGTACTGCACACCCTTGAAACTCAACTTGTCAGCTTTGAAAGTGTTTGTCGCATCTAATGAATGACGGGCAATTGCTTCTCTGAATGCATTTGAATATACAACAGGATTAAATGGTGACAGGTTATCTGCAATCAGCTCAGCTGCAAAAAGAGTTCCAGAGTTATAGAAACATTGCAACATTTGGTGCTTTTTGGCCAATGTTTTTGCTAAGCTTTTGTAGTTTTGTAGTTTTCTGGCACACTTCTTAAAATATGAGTGCTTACTCTCAAATCTGAGGGTCCAAAGTCTCATCAAAGGTCCATACTTTAGGATAAGTTCAGGGTAATGACTGATGAAATGGTGCTTTGGCCGAAGCCTAACATTTGGAAAGAGTCTCTTTCTCTCAAACAAATAATCTTCCACAACTGAATTGAGGAAAGCTACCAATGACATAGAAAATGACTGACTGCACACTATCTCTGTTAATTTTTTCATCAACAGGAAAAGACACCACACACTGTCTTCAGTATCCAGTATGTATTTTCCAACTAACAAGGGGAATAATCTTATAAACACCCAATTTTGTACTGCATGCCCTGTAAGTTTATCACAGTTATGTCCAACAGTGCAAGGCTTGTCTAATGAATCACGTCCTCTATATTTGAATTGCGCAATACGCCTATTCAACTGGTCAAATGTGAACCAGTTTTTCTCTTTCACAAGGTAAGTAATGATCAGCATAAGATCATATGGCAAGATTCCTTCAAAAAGATCATGCCCCAAGCATGGTGGTAAACCATTTACCACATGGAAATGTGTAAGGTTATTGAAATCTGAATTTTTCTTGATGCCATTATGATGAGGTACCTTGTCATCTGTAACAACTTGAACACTTTCCTGATAATTCTCTATAGTCCTCTTGTAACCGCTAGCTGGATGATCCCCATCAAATGCTTCACTCTTACTGATAATGCAGTATCTACAAAAATAATCTGCTGAGAAACTCTCTAGATAGCCTCCAATCATGTGTGATCCTAGATTGTCACCAAGTATACAGAACAATGAGCCTTTAATGAAAGTTCCATCACCAATGTCAAGTCCATGAAGCTCTAACTGTCTTAAATCTCTTAACAGAGGTTTAAACAATTTGTCTGAACCAAATTGTTTCAAATCTTTCTCTTTGCAGAGAATTACTAGTTGCATGTGATCTATATTTGATCGTCTAAACACAGGGTAATTGCCAAGAGTGAAATATACACCTAGAAGTTTGTGTTTTCTGCGAGCAGATCCTAAAGGGTTTACCACCTCAAAGGCATCTTGGTAAAGTATGATCTGAAATAGTTTATCCCCGCTCAAAAAAAATGAACTTTTCTGATAGAGTGAACCCTGATGAATGTCGATCAATTTATCTGCACATAAAGCCTCCCTGTTTTCAAGATCATGAAAGTTTATGAACTCCTTGTGGTAAGAATATAAACATGACAGAGTCTTTAGTATTGGTATGTACTGGAAACTGGACTGATCCCCACTGGTCACACTGTCAGATTCTAACACTATTTCTTCAGGTGGAACATATGTAAAATGTTTTGTGTAGAAACTTGTCCTACATTTATTTGACCTCAGTGGGCCATTATTACATTTGGAAAATACATCAGACTCATTTATGTCATTTTTCACTTGCGTAATAACTTCAGCACTAACCCCAAGCAATAAAAGTCTGTCTTCAATGTGTTTTTCAATAATCTGAACACTACAGTCATGGAATGATTGAAACTCGTGTATTATATCTTGAATAATTGAAACTGGCAGCAAATGTTTAGCCTCTAACTTCATGTAAAATTGCGCAACATTTCGTAGAAAATCTGCCTCCGAAACTTCTAAAAATGTACTTTCATCATCATTAATTATATCATAATTAACAGAACTTTTCTCACTGGGCATCTCCTCAAAATTGTCAGTTTGGTTTTCAGTTTCAGCTCCATTATTGCGGGTGGCAGAATAAATATAATCTGATGAAATGCAATCCAAACGCTGATGTTTGTGCTTTCTGGACAAATGTGACGAAAATGTAGATATTTTGTCACATTTCACCTGGCAATGTCTGAAAGGACAATTAACAGAATCTCTCTGTCTAATATGTTGTCGCAAATGAGTCAATAGGTCATCAATAGACGGGAATGTTGAGTCACAATTGTCTCTCCTGCAGCAAAGTAATACTGCAACACTGGGTCTCACTGTCCTGTGACCTTCACCTTTATGATCGCGGTGAACGTGAGACCTGAAGGCTGAATATGTTTTAAACTTCCTTTTACATTGTTCATGACAACATGGGAACTGTATATTTGGAACATTTCTGTGAATTGCATAATGCACTACATAGTGTCTGAGGTTATCTGTCTGAAATTGGCAGGATTTGCAAGAAAGCATGGCCCCGTCATTGCTCGGATTAGCGATACCTCCAAACTCACGGCCGTAAAATGTTGACAAAACTACTACAACGCATAAAATAACTATTTTCATGTTCCACAAGATCTACGACCATTTTGCCAATATAAAGTTATACCGCTGTTGTTGTTTTTCGGTCGGATTTGGGGGCCACAGTCTTCTTTTCTTCCCGATGACAAAAAATGGCGGCAGGAAACAAATATCCCATGATGCATTTGGATACGGTAAAATACCGTCACCCTAATAGTCGCGATTGCGAATACAACAGTGGAGTACCGATTTTACGCGAAAGTACCGTAAAACCAACGAAACGGGTACGACAAGAACGGTATTGTACTGTTTCACCCGAAACAGTACAAAAATGTATCGAATTTACGCGGACTTACCGTAAAAGCAATGTAACGTGTACGGTAAGGGTTTACAGTGTGTCTGATCTCAAACGGGAGCTAAATCGGCACTGTGTGAACGCAGCCTAATAAGTATAGTCACGTTTTAGGATGAGCTTATTTTTTCAAGCAGATGGCGGCTGAGTGTTTTTTATTTACACAAATTATTAGCTGTGTTTTTTGTCTACGAGGATATAAAGTGCGCCTCAAGCAGTTGTTCATTTCGCAAAAAAATCTGAGTGCCTTATTGTTTGTTTCAGAGAAACGAAGTGAAAGCTTTTAGGAAACAGAGAAACAACAATGGGAAGCACTGTGGATCCTGCCGAAAGACGCTCCATGACGTCACGATTGTGCCAACGAATCAAAAACAAGCTCTTATTCTCAGGGGATGGAATGACACCTCCCAACTGGCCCGTCATCGGCCTCATGTTCCTTTCACTGGTGGGACTTTGAAAACATCTTTTTTCTGAGAGGACATTATGAAAATGAGCGTATTATTAATTTTTTTCCGATGTAAAATTTAAAAAGAGATCGAATTAAAATGAGACATGTAATATTTCACGGGAGTGCGGTACATCGCAATACTTGGTCTGCCGCGATACGGGTATGATAAGGTAAGGTCAGGTATGGGTACGTAGCGATACAATATATTTAACTGTCGGGGCAAACATAAGGTTTAGACCTATGTTTGATTGTGGCTAAAATGGAACATAAAAGAAATTATTACTCGATGGTGATGTGTGTGGTACGGGTATCATAGTTGTGTTCTGGACCTTATTTTAGCAGTGTTTCGTCAACTGTTTTCATCCTAGTAACGTTTTGATAACATTTCTATTTGGTCAAATACAATTTTGAAGTGTATACTTTCAATTACCTGTCAGAGAAGGACATGTGAGAGGGTTAAAATGTATTGAAAGTCACGTCGGCAGTATATCAGCCATATTGTGAGTACAAAAAGTAGTAGCACTTATATTACATACCTAAAATAACCTGTAACCTATCACATCAAGTACTGTTCAAAGGGTTTCATGACTGTTGTCTCTTACTGTTGTCAGTTCACATGGGGTATACATTGTTTAAAAATATCGTATATCGTACCGCGAAATATGCTTCGTATCGTTACAGCTATATTTTGGGACACAAAATTCCTAATTCTTTGCACTACCCGTGAAGATCAGGTATGGAATAGGTCTTCACCAACCCATGCTTGCCATAATAGGCGATTATGCTTGTCGTAAGAGGCGACTTCCGGGATCGGGTGGTCAGGATCGCAGACTAGGTTGATGTATGGTAGATTGGTAGATCGATGCTCATGATATCAATCATTGGCTTGTCTGGTCCAGACACGATTATTTACAGACCGCCGTCATAATGCTGGAATATTGGTGAGGCGTTAAACAACAAACAAAAAAGATAATTCTTTTCACAAACAGCGCACCTCTAACACTGTGAATATGCTTTCTAATGCTGTTGTCTGATCCCCACAAGGCTCTAACTACGAGCCCAGGGCTCTGGGTACTTATTCTGACCCGGAATACCTAAAGTCTACGTCAGAGATCTGTACATCCAGATGATTCAGTTTGGTGTTCCCAGTGTGAAAACACTGAGAGTGCAAGATTCTGATTACAAATGCCATGTAATTATATTTGTGTAGTTTGTTTCAGTTCGCCAGCGCCTTCACTCTGACTTTCATCTTCCCCTTCCTCCCAGAGATGACCCTGGTGAGTTGTGTAACCTACTTCCCATTTCAACACGAGGGAATTGGGGTGATATGTGTAGGGTGGGTGAAGTGTGTAGGCTGGGTGAAGTGTGTAGGGTGGGTGAAGTGTGTAGGCTGGGTGAAGTGTGTAGGGTGGGTGAAGTGTGTAGGCTGGGTGAAGTGTGTAGGGTAGGTGAAGTGTGTAGGGTGGGTGAAGTGTGTAGGCTGGGTGAAGTGTGTAGGCTGGGTGAAGTGTGTAGGCTGGGTGAAGTGTGTAGGCTGGGTGAAGTGTGTAGGGTAGGTGAAGTGTGTAGGCTGCCTGAAGTGTGTAGGGTGGGTGAAGTGTGTAGGGTGGGTGAAGTGTGTAGGCTGGGTGAAGTGTGTAGGCTGGGTGAAGTGTGTAGGGTAGGTGAAGTGTGTAGGCTGGGTGAAGTGTGTAGGCTGGGTGAAGTGTGTAGGGTTGGTGAAGTGTGTAGGGTGGGTGAAGTGTGTAGGGTAGGTGAAGTGTGTAGGCTGGGTGAAGTGTGTAGGCTGGGTGAAGTGTGTAGGCTGCCTGAAGTGTGTAGGGTGGATGAAGTGTGTAGGGTGGGTGAAGTGTGTAGGCTGGGTGAAGTGTGTAGGCTGGGTGAAGTGTGTAGGGTTGGTGAAGTTTGTAGGGTTGATGAAGTGTGTAGGCTGGGTGAAGTGTGTAGGGTGGGTGAAGTGTGTAGGGCGTGTAGGGTAGGTGAAGTGTGTAGGGTGGGTGAAGTGTGTAGGCTGGGTGAAGTGTGTAGGGTTGGTGAAGTGTTTTTAGTGAGGAGAAGTGTGCTGGTGAGTGAGTGAGTGAGTTTGGTTTAACGCCGCTATGAACAGTATTCAAGTAATATCACGGCATGTCAGCTTAATGTAGGAGGAAAACCTGAAGTGATGCAGGTCTCAGACGTTTACCGCTTCAGTGAAACCCACGAGCACGGGTATGGTGCTGACAAACCTAGAAACATAATCGGGGCGAACCGGGATTCGAACCCACAATGATAGGTTTCTGGCGTGCGACGCAACTCTGCACAGCGAATCGCGGCGCCTTAGACGACTGGGCCCCCCGTGTCCCCCGCGGGTGTTTGAAGTAATGTGACGTGATATGGGGTTTAACGTTGCATCCAAGATTATTGTGCTATATATATAGTGCATATCTATATATATATATGTGTGTGTGTGTGTGTGTGTGTGTGTGTGTGTGTCCGGACTAATGCCGATACCATGTCACAGTAAAACGTGAATACCCCCTCAGACACAGTATACTGACTCCCAGCTGGCCAGCCCTTGTTTTAGCCCCTTAATTCCGAGCGTCAGGCAGGGTAACAACAAGTACAATCTTTTAACTTCTTTTGGTATGAGGCGGCTGTGGATCGATTCCTGGACCTTCCGCTTTCGTGGGGACGCTCCACCACTAGACCACGGCGGCTGTCTTAAGTCTGTAGTGGTGGTCTAGCAGTCAGGATTATTTGAACTTAGGTTTTAATCCCCGAAAATATAACTGATATACTGTTCAATGAAGTATTCCAACACATTTCACTCACTCATTTCATTTCAGGGCTTCGGATACAGCGAGGAACAGAAGGGGTACTATGCTGGGTTGGTGGCCTCGTCTGTGTTCGCCGGCCGAGCTGCAGGAAGGTATGTACACACTTCCGGGTACCCGTGAGCAGCAGACCGGATCACCAGATGGCGTCATAGAAATTATATTGATAAAGTCAAGTGTTTGTCAGAAAATTGGAAGTAGCATCCTCAGACCGGAAGTTCACATATCTTTCTTGAAAAGGGTCATCAATTGCGCAGATCGATACTCGTGATGTCCATCAGTGGATTGTCTGGTCCAGATTCTATTATTTACAGACCACCTTCATATGACAGAAATATTGCTGAGAGCGGCGTTAAACATCATCACGCGAAAAGGGTCAAAAATCAATATAAAGACGACCCGTGAAGTTTCGGGGTACAATAGCTTTCATCAACCCATGCTTGCCGTAAAAGGTGACTATGCTTGAGGTAAGAGGCGACTAACGGGTTCGGGTGGTCAGGCTCGCTGACTTGGTTGATGCATGTCATCGTATCCCAATAATGCGTGGATCGACGCTCATGATGTCAATCATTAGATTGTCTTGTCCAGTTTTCCCTTATTTACAGACCGCTGTCATGTAGCTGAAATATTGCTGAGAGCGGCGTTAAACAACAAACAAACAAATAATCAATTTAAAGACGTGTCATTTATCTGTCTGCTGTCATCTGATTTGCTGAATTAAAAATAGTTTACATTACATTGCATTATAGATTGGTTCACAGTATCAAGATTTGAAATGTTACCTTTCCCGTCCTCGCATCAGTCAAGAAATGCATCTCTGTGGAAAAAGGAAAGAAAATATAAAAGAAAGTGTTCCCTTTTCAACTGTTACAGCTACTTCTGGGGCTGGCTGTCGGACAGGAAGGGCCGGAAGTTGGTGCTACTGTTGACGCTAGGTGGTAGTGGTGTGTTCTCGCTCGTGTTCGGATTCACGCAGAATCTCGCCATGGCCATATCCGCCAGATTCTTCACAGGGCTCTTTAGTGGTGAGTTCTGCAGGGGCTTGTCATCCAGATACATACTTGGTTAATGCTGCTCATTCAGGGTCCCAATGTGTTTGCCTAACACTGCACTGATTCAGTTTTGCCTTAAGTAAAACCCACGGCAGCTTAAACGACTAAAAGACTATGCGAACAGTTCAGGGAGTGTTTGGGTGTGTTTGATCGTCTCAAAAAGTTAGTTATTTCCCAACATGAGAAACTTATTTTTGTTAAAGCCTCGTTAAACCTTACTAAAACATTTAATACTTGGCAGTCTTAAAGTCTGGTGTTGTTTACAGGAATCCTGGGCACGGCCAAGACCGTCCTGTACGAGGTGTCGGACAACAGTAACCAGGCCGTCGGGATGTCCATGATTAGCCTGGCCTGGGGGGCTGGGATCATACTTGGGCCAGCTACTGGGGGTGAGTCACTATGTGGGGTTGGGTGGGGCCTTGCGGAGGGAGGGTCACTGTTCATGACGTGTAAGTTTCTTTGCGGGGACAGTTAGGGATATTTCTTTGCGGGAACAGTTGGGGATGTTTCTTTGCGGGGACAGTTGGGGATGGTTCTTTGCGGGAATAGTTGGGGATATTTCTTTGCAGGGATAGTTGGGGATGTTTCTTTGCGGGGACAGTTGGGATGGTTCTTTGCGGGGACAGTTGGGGATGGTTCTTTGCGGGGACAGTTGGGGATGCTTCTTTGCGGGGACAGTTGGGGATGTTTCTTTGCGGGGACAGTTGGGGATGGTTCTTTGCGGGGACAGTTGGGGATGTTTCTTTGCAGGGACAGTTTGGGATGCTTCTTTGCGGGGATAGTTGGGGATATTTCTTTGCAGGGATAGTTGGGGATATTTCTTTGCGGGGACAGTTGGGAAGGTTCTTTGCAGGGATAGTTGGGGATGCTTCTTTGCGGGGACTGTTGGGATGGTTCTTTGCGGGGACAGTTGGTATAGTTCTTTGCGGGGACAGTTGGGGATGCTTCTTTGCGGGGACAGTTGGGGATGTTTCTTTGCGGGGACAGTTGGGAATGGTTCTTTGCGGGGACAGTTGGGGATGTTTCTTTGCGGGGACAGTTGGGGATGTTTCTTTGCAGGGACAGTTGGGAATGGTTCTTTGCGGGGACAGTTGGGGATGTTTCTTTGCGGGGACAGTTGGGGATGTTTCTTTGCGGGGACAGTTGGGGATATTTCTTTGCAGGGTCAGTAGGGGATATTTCTTTGCAGGGACAGTTGGGGATATTTCTTTGCAGGGAAAGTAGGGGATGTTTCTTTGCGGGGACAGTTGGGGATGCTTCTTTGCGGGGACAGTTGGGGATGGTTCTTTGCAGGGACAGTTGGGTATGTTTCTTTGCAGGGACAGTAGGGGATATTTCTTTGCAGGGACAGTAGGGGATATTTCTTTGCAGGGATAGTTGGGGATGTTTCTTTGCGGGGACAGTTGGGATGGTTCTTTGCGGGGACAGTTGGGGATGTTTCTTTGCAGGGACAGTTGGGATGGTTCTTTGCGGGGACAGTTGGGGATGGTTCTTTGTGGGGACAGTTGGGGATGCTTCTTTGCGGGGACAGTTGGGGATGTTTCTTTGCGGGGACAGTTGGGGATGGTTCTTTACGGGGACAGTTGGGGATGTTTCTTTGCGGGGACAGTTTGGGATGCTTCTTTGCGGGGATAGTTGGGGATATTTCTTTGCAGGGATAGTTGGGAATGTTTCTTTGCGGGGACAGTTGGGATGGTTCTTTGCAGGGATAGTTGGGGATGCTTCTTTGCGGGGACTGTTGGGGATGGTTCTTTGCGGGGACAGTTGGGGATGTTTCTTTGCGGGGACAGTTGGGATGGTTCTTTGCGGGGACAGTTGGTATAGTTCTTTGCGGGGACAGTTGGGGATGCTTCTTTGCGGGGACAGTTGGGGATGTTTCTTTGCAGGGATAGTTGGGGATGTTTCTTTGCGGGGACAGTTGGGATGGTTCTTTGCGGGGACAGTTGGGGATGGTTCTTTGCGGGGACAGTTGGGGATGCTTCTTTGCGGGGACAGTTGGGGATGTTTCTTTGCGGGGACAGTTGGGGATGGTTCTTTGCGGGGACAGTTTGGGATGCTTCTTTGCGGGGACAGTTGGGGATATTTCTTTGCAGGGATAGTTGGGAATGTTTCTTTGCGGGGACTTGGGGATGGTTCTTTGCGGGGACAGTTGGGGATGTTTCTTTGCGGGGACAGTTCGGATGGTTCTTTGCCGGGACAGTTGGTATAGTTCTTTGCAGGGACAGTTGGGGATGCTTCTTTGCGGGGACAGTTGGGGATGTTTCTTTGCGGGGACAGTTGGGGATGCTTCTTTGCGGGGACAGTTGGGGATGTTTCTTTGCGGGGACAGTTGGGGATGTTTCTTTGCGGGGACAGTTGGGGATATTTCTTTGCAGGGTCAGTAGGGGATATTTCTTTGCAGGGACAGTTGGGGATATTTCTTTGCAGGGAAAGTAGGGGATGTTTCTTTGTGGGGACAGTTGGGGATGCTTCTTTGCGGGGACAGTTTGGGATGGTTCTTTGCAGGGACAGTTGGGGATGTTTCTTTGCAGGGACAGTAGGGGATATTTCTTTGCAGGGACAGTTGGGGATATTTCTTTGCAGGGACAGTAGGGGATATTTCTTTGCAGGGATAGTTGGGGATGTTTCTTTGCGGGGACAGTTGGGATGGTTCTTTGCGGGGACAGTTGGGGATGTTTCTTTGCAGGGACAGTTGGGGATGGTTCTTTGCAGGGACAGTTGGGGATGGTTCTTTGTGGGGACAGTGGGGGATGTTCTTTGCGGGGACAGTTGGGGATGTTTCTTTTCAGGGACAGTTGGGGATGGTTCTTTGCAGGGACAGAGGGGGATGTTTCTTTGCGGGGACAGTGGGGGATGTTTCTTTGCAGGGACAGAGGGGGATTTTTCTTTGCGGGGACAGTTGGGGATGTTTCTTTGCGGGGACAGTTGGGGATGTTTCTTTGCGGGGACAGTTGGGGATGTTTCTTTGCAGGGACAGTAGGGGATATTTCTTTGCAGGGACAGTTGGGGATGGTTCTTTGCGGGGACAGTTGGGGATGTTTCTTTGCGGGGACAGTTGGGGATGTTTCTTTGCAGGGACAGTTGGGGATGGTTCTTTGCGGGGACAGTTGGGGATGTTTCTTTGCGGGGACAGTTGGGGATGTTTCTTTGCAGGGACAGAGGGGGATTTTTCTTTGCGGGGACAGTTGGGGATGTTTCTTTGCGGGGACAGTTGGGGATGTTTCTTTGCGGGGACAGTTGGGGATGTTTCTTTGCAGGGACAGTAGGGGATATTTCTTTGCAGGGACAGTAGGGGATGTTTCTTTGCGGGGACAGTTGGGGATGTTTCTTTGCGGGGACAGTTGGGGATGCTTCTTTGCAGGGATAGTTGGGGATGTTTCTTTGTGGGGATAGTTGCGGATGTTTCTTTTCGGGGATAGTTGCAGATGTTTCTTTGCGGGGACAGATATACAATGTGTAGAATTCAACACAATTGAACTTTTTCAATTTTCATAATGTCATCACAGATATGGAACTTTGGCATAAGGCACCACAACTATGTGCAGACCGGGTGGTGATGGGTTCAGATTTCATATTTTGGTGTTGCAACCATACCCCTGTTACATTACACCCCGAATCTCTTAATGGTGAGTGAGTTAGAATGGTTTTGTGCCGCATTTATCAATATTCCAGCAATATCACAGAGGGGGACACTAGAAATGGGCTTCACACATTGTACCCATGCGGGGATTCCACCCAGGTCTTCAACGTGACGAGGAAACGCTTTAACCACTGGGCTACCCGAACGCCACGCATATCAACTAACGAGAATGTTGTAAAAGCGGAAAACGCAAGCCGAACCGAGATCCGAGCAATACCTAGAATCAGATCCGATATTGAATCTAATGTGTATGAAATAGCCATAAAGGCTAATATGTAGGGATACTATACTGAACAAAACAGTTAGGGATCATTAATATTTTTTGGGATGTGTTTTGTAGTGAAGACTGGGCGCACAATTTCATATATAATATCCCCCAAACTAATTACGATCTCCACCTTTTTGTATCAGTATAATTGGGTGACTGGCACACATCGTGTATGATATGTTTGATGTTAGATTTATATTGCAACTTTGACATGTAAAGTTTTGATGATTGTGATTATTACGATTATGATTTCCGATTATTTAATAATTTATAGTGATATGTTACTGTGGTATGAAATTCCACTCACTCACTCACTCACCTTCACAGGGTACCTGGCATCCCCGGTGGTGAAGTACCCAGCAACATTCCCACCTGGGTTCTTCACGCGCTTCCCCTACATCATCCCCGCCACCGTCACCTTCGTCGTCAACGTTCTTGTCTTCCTCGTGATCGCTTTCAAGATGAAAGAGACGCTTCATTGCAGGTACCGTGAGGGATACTCTCTAACCTTCCAGTGTCAAAGCGGCTACTCCGTAACCTTCCAATGTTTTTGTTGGTAATCTCTAACCTTCCAATGTTTAGTGGATACTCTCTAACCTTGCAATGTTTTGTGAGTACTCTGTAACCTTCCAGTGTCAATGCGGCTACTCTCTAACCTTCCAATGTTTTGTTAGTACTCTCTAACCTTCCAGCGTATAAGCGGCTACTCTCTTACCTTCCAATGTTTTGTTGGTACTCTATAACCTTCCAGTGTCAATGCGGCTACTCTCTAACCTTCCAATGTTAAGTTGTACTCTGTAACTTTTCAATGTCAATGCGGCTACTCTCTAACCTTCCAATGTTAAGTTGTACTCTGTAACTTTTCAATGTCAATGCGGCTACTCTCTAACCTTCCAATGTTTTGTTGTACTCTGTAACCTACCAGTGTGAATGCGGCTACTCTCTAACCTTCATGAAGCGGATAATCTCCGAAACCAATATTTGGCATGCACTCTCGAATACGTATAGTGTGTACTCTCTAACCCGTAATTCGCTGTGCAGCTGCAATTCGCTGTGCAGAGTTGCGTCCCCTGGGCACACAAGAAACCTGTGATCGTGGGTATACATCCCGGCTTTGGGTTTCAACAAAGTGATAAACGCCTGAAACCTGAATCACTTTAGGCTTTTCTCAGCAATTACGCTGACACAACGTGATACAACTGGAAGGATGTCAAAAGCGGCGATAAACCAGACTCACAGATAATTGCACTTACATAACAACGTGAATGCACGTGTGTGTGTGTGTGTGTGTGTGTGTGTGTGTGTGTGTGTGTGTGTGTGCGTGTGCGTGTGAGCGCGTGTGTGTGCGTGTGCGTGCGTGTGTGTGCGCGTGCGCGTGCGCGTGTGTGTTGCTTGTACTAGTCAGGGATAATGCCGATTTTATCTTCTTAGCCCACTGAGATACCATGCCGCGGTTTAACATGAATATCCTACTCAGACATGTGGTATACGGACTTCTTGTTGGACCAGTCCTTGTTTTAGCCCCTTAATGCCGAGCGCCAGACAGGGTAACAACAAGTACAATCTTTTAACGTTGTTTGGTATGGCGCGGCCGAGGATCGAACTCCCGACCTTCTGCTCTCCGGGCGGACGCTCTAGAACTAGACCACAGAGGCAGTCATGTATTTATGAACATTGATATGACAAATGTAAACCTATTCATCAAAAGATGCTGCACACATACCTTATGTTTTCAGGGATATCGTGACGCACATTGCTGAAAAGGAGCCTCTTCAAGATGGCGGCCAGATTAAAAATGGATGTCGATGTGATTACCTCAAACGTCACAAATCTCACAATGACGTCACCGAGTCATATCACCAGCCTGACATATCAACAAATAACGGTTCTTTAGGTACCGATATCAATAAATTATCTCACACTAACGAAAACAGGTATACGGATATCACAAATTGCAACGAGCGTAAGAACAAAGTTCAAAACGACGCCAGTACTGCTCGACTCTATTCGTCTGTGCCTAATATATCATGTATTAGAAATGGCGACTCTGTGATTATGTCCGACGAGAGGCAATGTACGTGTTTTATGTATAATCAACGGGTGGGTGACACAAGGACACTAACAGGAGGTGATGTGAAATGGCGTTCCTCCTCTGCTCATCAATTTGAATCTGACAGCGAGAAGAAGACGTGTCAGAATTCAGGGATCTGGGTTGCGGTCCAACAGAGTGCCTTGGTTACAAACATGAGGTAAGTCAGGGAACTCGCTGTTGTTGCAATCGTGGTTGTGAAACTGTTGCCAACTGGTTGGTCATACCCTGTTGTTGTTAATGATTTGTTTATGAAATTTGTTAGTTCGACCCCGTAGAGAATGGATAGATAGAATAGCTGTAAAGGCTTGGCCCTTGTCTCTGTGTGTGTGTGTGTGTGTGTGTGTGTGTGTGTGTGTGTGTGTGTGTGTGTGTGTGTGTGTGTGTGTGTGTCTCTTTCTGTGTGGCATTCCGGGATGCGTGTCTGTATGTGTGTACGCATGCGTGCGTGCATAGGCATTGATGGTATTTAATATTTTTTTGTTCCAGGTAAAATGTTTGTCCCAAATTTAATAGTACTCAGAACGTGTTGGGTGTCCTGAAATTAAATTGTCTTTTAAAATAATATTACATTGTTCGGCTCCCCCTTTCACAGACAATTCGAGAATACATCAGCAACTGTAGCTCATGTTGGCCGACTAGAATGTGTCATGGCTGTCATCCTTATCGCTGAATACCTTTATCTTTATCAAGTTATAATATTAATTATCATAAACTACACGCAATAAACAGCCCGTGAAGATCCGGGTAACAACAGGTCTTCAGCAACCAATGCTTGTCGTAAGAAGCGACTATCGGGATCGGGTAGTCAGGCTCTGACTTGGTTGATGCATGTCATCGTATACCAATTACTTGGGTCGATGCTCATGATATCAATGACTAGATTGTCTTGTCCAGTCTCAATTATTTACATCCGCTGTCCTATAGCTTGAATATTGCTGAGTGTGGCGTAAAAACAACATTCACTCATGTCAATGTCAATGAACAGACCTAATTGTTGTCATTTTCGTAGACAGAAAGATGTCCGCGAGTCGGTCATTCTCTTCACGGTTTTCTCCTTCGCCATCATCGGCTTTGAAGACGTCTTCAACGTCTGGGCTTCCACTGAAAGACGTTTGGGTAACTATGCCAATAAGTAGGATTTGTTCGTAGACGATTCCTGATAATCCATGTGGTATATTTTTATATTTCGCTACTTTATTGACAAAATTGCATGGCTGACAAACAAAGGACTGTGCGGAGCTCAACAGAAGGGAAACAACTACTTGTAATCGATCAACCTCAATCATAGACATAAAAGCAACAAAACCCTTTTCATTATCACAAGAGTCCATAGCACGATTCCAACCATATCATAAGCATGCTGTAATAAATCCCTATGAAATAGCGACGATACCATTCAGTTGAATCCCTGTTTGGCACAATCCACGTGATTCGGCCACTTTGAGATTGGAAAATATTGTGAATTAAAATGCAGCAAGGTCATGTTAATTAGTTTAGCCTGTTAATAACAGCAGGAGAAACGGATGGATGTTGTCATTTTCAATGATTATTATGTTGACGTTGTTTGTTGCTATTTGCTACAGACGGGCTTGGGTTCAGCACGGACAAGATCGGAACGGTCCTGTCCATGGTGGGAATCCCGTTGCTGCTGCTGCTCATCTTCATCTTCTCAACTCTAGTGAGACACTTCGGCATCAAGAAGGTGAGTAGCCAGCATTGTCATCAACGCTCGTCGGGACTATTACATTTTATAAACCGCATTCACTAGCAGCAATATTTTCTAATTTTGATTTAAATCGATCCTGTTTCAGACATACATGATCTGTTCCTTCGTCATGGCGGTGTCCGTGACGGCGTGTCCTGTTCTTCATCTGTTGTCTGACAGGTGAGTCGCAGTTCCAACCAACGGACCTGGCTTACAATATGTCCTTGGTCTTCCCCTAATCTTTGGACCTTCAGAAAGATCAGCTGTTAGGTGGGGTGAGGTGAAATTGAGTTTAGCGTCGCGTTCAAGATACTGGTATAGCAACGTGGTTGCACGTGTGTGTGTCATGTTGCTGCTTGTACTTGTGCGGACTTTAAGATGCCAGTCCACCCAAATGCCATGCCGTAGTTTAACATGGATAGCCCACGCAGACACATTATACAGCCGACCAGTCCTTGTTTCATCCCCATAATGCCAAACGCCTCGCATGGTAACAAGAAGTACAATTATTTGACGTCTTTTGCACAGATCTGATGGAGGCAGTTCCGCCCCATTAGGGAAACCGATGTTAGTATATGGCGTCAGGGCTTACTGTATGGTTAACCTTCTTGGTAATTTGTGTGTGTGTGCAAGTTAAGTTTGAACATTGTTTCAATGATATCATGGCGGATTGTTTCAATGTACAAAGCCAAAAACGAGGCAGGACGTTTACCATTTTGTTGAAACCAATGAGTTCAGGTGCCTCTGATTATGCGTCTAAGGGTGTCATCACCATACCCGTGCTCGTGGATATCACTAAAGTGGTAAACGTCTGAGGCCTGCATGGCGTCGGGCCATCATTCCACACCAAGCTGACACGCCCTGATATAACTGAAATGCTGTTCAAATCACCGTAAAACCTAAATGGCTGACTCCCATGTTTCCAGACCTAATGTGCTGTGGCCGGTGATGCTGCTCATCCTCATCCCGGAGAGGCTCTGCGCCAGCTGCTGCTTCTCCGCCACCGCCCTCTTCATCAACAACTCAGTCACACCCGAAAATGCTGGTGCCGTTAATGGCATCGGCATGACGTTCACTGCTATTGCAAGGTTAGTTTGTCCATCACTGTGGTTCATTATTTAAACGAAGTCGATCATAAGCGTCAAAGATAAAAAGTGGAGTACTTCAGTCAACAATTTGTTATTAACACATAATTTGTAACAAGATCTGGTCCGAAAAACAAAGAAAAGTTAGGGTTGATTTGTTCAGCTTCTGTTGAACAATATTATTTGATAGGTTTGTCTTGGATCATTGTCATGGAAATGATTATGGCAACTGATCAACTGAAGTGAGGATTTCGAGATCTCTGAAAAGAATTAGATATTGCTTTGCACAGAACTGATGGATAGGACTTTTTGGGGGGATGGCATGTTTTCCAGTGATGGTTGTTCCATCACACACTGCAATGTTCCTGTATTTCAGAACCTTGTACTCTTCATCCATACCTCCATCACACACTGCAATGTTCCTGTATTTCAGAACCTTGTTCTCTTCATCCATACCTCCATCACACACTGCAATGTTCCTGTATTTCAGAACCTGGTACACTTCATCCATACCTCCATCACACACTGCAATGTTCCTGTATTTCAGAACCTTGTACTCTTCATCCATACCTCCATCACACACTGCAATGTTCCTGTATTTCAGAACCTGGTACACTTCATCCATACCTCCATCACACACTGCAATGCTCCTGTATTTCAGAACCTTGTACTCTTCATCCATACCTCCATCACACACTGCAATGCTCCTGTATTTCAGAACCTTGTACTCTTCATCCATACCTCCATCACACACTGCAATGTTCCTGTATTTCAGAACCTTGTACTCTTCATCCATACCTCCATCACACACTGCAATGCTCCTGTATTTCAGAACCTGGTACACTTCATCCATACCTCCATCACACACTGCAATGTTCCTGTATTTCAGAACCTTGTACTCTTCATCCATACCTCCATCACACACTGCAATGTTCCTGTATTTCAGAACCTGGTACACTTCATCCATACCTCCATCACACACTGCAATGTTCCTGTATTTCAGAACCTTGTACTCGTCATCCATACCTCCATCACACACTGCAATGCTCCTGTATTTCAGAACCTGGTACACTTCATCCATACCTCCATCACACACTGCAATGCTCCTGTATTTCAGAACCTGGTACTCTTCATCCATACCTCCATCACACACTGCAATGTTCCTGTATTTCAGAACCTTGTACTCTTCATCCATACCTCCATCACACACTGCAATGCTCCTGTATTTCAGAACCTTGTTCTCTTCATCCATACCTCCATCACACACTGCAATGCTCCTGTATTTCAGAACCTTGTTCTCTTCATCCATACCTCCATCACACACTGCAATGTTCCTGTATTTCAGAACCTGGTACTCTTCATCCATACCTCCATCACACACTGCAATGTTCCTGTATTTCAGAACCTTGTACTCTTCATCCATACCTCCATCACACACTGCAATGCTCCTGTATTTCAGAACCTTGTTCTCTTCATCCATACCTCCATCACACACTGCAATGCTCCTGTATTTCAGAACCTTGTTCTCTTCATCCATACCTCCATCACACACTGCAATGTTCCTGTATTTCAGAACCTGGTACTCTTCATCCATACCTCCATCACACACTGCAATGTTCCTGTATTTCAGAACCTTGTACTCTTCATCCATACCTCCATCACACACTGCAATGCTCCTGTATTTCAGAACCGTGTACTCTTCATCCATACCTCCATCACACACTGCAATGCTCCTGTATTTCAGAACATGGTACACTTCATCCATACCTCCATCACACACTGCAATGCTCCTGTATTTCAGAACCTTGTTCTCTTCATCCATACCTCCATCACACACTGCAATGCTCCTGTATTTCAGAACCTGGTACTCTTCATCCATACCTCCATCACACACTGCAATGCTCCTGTATTTCAGAACCTTGTACTCTTCATCCATACCTCCATCACACACTGCAATGTTCCTGTATTTCAGAACCTTGTACTCTTCATCCATACCTCCATCACACACTGCAATGCTCCTGTATTTCAGAACCTGGTACACTTCATCCATACCTCCATCACACACTGCAATGTTCCTGTATTTCAGAACCTTGTACTCTTCATCCATACCTCCATCACACACTGCAATGTTCCTGTATTTCAGAACCTGGTACACTTCATCCATACCTCCATCACACACTGCAATGTTCCTGTATTTCAGAACCTTGTACTCGTCATCCATACCTCCATCACACACTGCAATGCTCCTGTATTTCAGAACCTGGTACACTTCATCCATACCTCCATCACACACTGCAATGCTCCTGTATTTCAGAACCTGGTACTCTTCATCCATACCTCCATCACACACTGCAATGTTCCTGTATTTCAGAACCTTGTACTCTTCATCCATACCTCCATCACACACTGCAATGCTCCTGTATTTCAGAACCTTGTTCTCTTCATCCATACCTCCATCACACACTGCAATGCTCCTGTATTTCAGAACCTTGTTCTCTTCATCCATACCTCCATCACACACTGCAATGTTCCTGTATTTCAGAACCTGGTACTCTTCATCCATACCTCCATCACACACTGCAATGTTCCTGTATTTCAGAACCTTGTACTCTTCATCCATACCTCCATCACACACTGCAATGCTCCTGTATTTCAGAACCTTGTTCTCTTCATCCATACCTCCATCACACACTGCAATGCTCCTGTATTTCAGAACCTTGTTCTCTTCATCCATACCTCCATCACACACTGCAATGTTCCTGTATTTCAGAACCTGGTACTCTTCATCCATACCTCCATCACACACTGCAATGTTCCTGTATTTCAGAACCTTGTACTCTTCATCCATACCTCCATCACACACTGCAATGCTCCTGTATTTCAGAACCGTGTACTCTTCATCCATACCTCCATCACACACTGCAATGCTCCTGTATTTCAGAACATGGTACACTTCATCCATACCTCCATCACACACTGCAATGCTCCTGTATTTCAGAACCTTGTTCTCTTCATCCATACCTCCATCACACACTGCAATGCTCCTGTATTTCAGAACCTGGTACTCTTCATCCATACCTCCATCACACACTGCAATGCTCCTGTATTTCAGAACCTTGTACTCTTCATCCATACCTCCATCACACACTGCAATGTTCCTGTATTTCAGAACCTTGTACTCTTCATCCATACCTCCATCACACACTGCAATGCTCCTGTATTTCAGAACCTGGTACACTTCATCCATACCTCCATCACACACTGCAATGTTCCTGTATTTCAGAACCTTGTACTCTTCATCCATACCTCCATCACACACTGCAATGTTCCTGTATTTCAGAACCTGGTACACTTCATCCATACCTCCATCACACACTGCAATGTTCCTGTATTTCAGAACCTTGTACTCGTCATCCATACCTCCATCACACACTGCAATGCTCCTGTATTTCAGAACCTGGTACACTTCATCCATACCTCCATCACACACTGCAATGCTCCTGTATTTCAGAACCTGGTACTCTTCATCCATACCTCCATCACACACTGCAATGTTCCTGTATTTCAGAACCTTGTACTCTTCATCCATACCTCCATCACACACTGCAATGCTCCTGTATTTCAGAACCTTGTTCTCTTCATCCATACCTCCATCACACACTGCAATGCTCCTGTATTTCAGAACCTTGTTCTCTTCATCCATACCTCCATCACACACTGCAATGTTCCTGTATTTCAGAACCTGGTACTCTTCATCCATACCTCCATCACACACTGCAATGTTCCTGTATTTCAGAACCTTGTACTCTTCATCCATACCTCCATCACACACTGCAATGCTCCTGTATTTCAGAACCTTGTTCTCTTCATCCATACCTCCATCACACACTGCAATGCTCCTGTATTTCAGAACCTTGTTCTCTTCATCCATACCTCCATCACACACTGCAATGTTCCTGTATTTCAGAACCTGGTACTCTTCATCCATACCTCCATCACACACTGCAATGTTCCTGTATTTCAGAACCTTGTACTCTTCATCCATACCTCCATCACACACTGCAATGCTCCTGTATTTCAGAACCGTGTACTCTTCATCCATACCTCCATCACACACTGCAATGCTCCTGTATTTCAGAACATGGTACACTTCATCCATACCTCCATCACACACTGCAATGCTCCTGTATTTCAGAACCTTGTTCTCTTCATCCATACCTCCATCACACACTGCAATGCTCCTGTATTTCAGAACCTGGTACTCTTCATCCATACCTCCATCACACACTGCAATGCTCCTGTATTTCAGAACCTTGTACTCTTCATCCATACCTCCATCACACACTGCAATGTTCCTGTATTTCAGAACCTTGTTCTCTTCATCCATACCTGCATCACACACTGCAATGTTCCTGTATTTCAGAACCTTGTTCTCTTCATCCATACCTCCATCACACACTGCAATGTTCCTGTATTTCAGAACCTTGTTCTCTTCATCCATACCTCCATCACACACTGCAATGCTCCTGTATTTCAGAACCTGGTACACTTCATCCATACCTCCATCACACACTGCAATGTTCCTGTATTTCAGAACCTGGTACACTTCATCCATACCTCCATCACACACTGCAATGTTCCTGTATTTCAGAACCTGGTACTCTTCATCCATACCTCCATCACACACTGCAATGCTCCTGTATTTCAGAACCTGGTACTCTTCATCCATACCTCCATCACACACTGCAATGTTCCTGTATTTCAGAACCTGGTACTCTTCATCCATACCTCCATCACACACTGCAATGCTCCTGTATTTCAGAACCTTGTACTCTTCATCCATACCTCCATCACACACTGCAATGCTCCTGTATTTCAGAACCTTGTTCTCTTCATCCGTACCTCCATCACACACTGCAATGCTCCTGTATTTCAGAACCTGGTTCTCTTCATCCATACCTCCATCACACACTGCAATGTTCCTGTATTTCAGAACCTGGTACTCTTCATCCATACCTCCATCACACTCTGCAATGTTCCTGTATTTCAGAACCTGGTACTCTTCATCCATACCTCCATTACACACTGCAATGTTCCTGTATTTCAGAACTTGGTACACTTCATCCATACCTCCATCACACACTGCAATGTTCCTGTATTTCAGAACATGGTACACTTCATCCATACCTCCATCACACACTGCAATGCTCCTGTATTTCAGAACAAGGTACACTTCATCCATACCTCCATCACACACTGCAATGCTCCTGTATTTCAGAACAAGGTACACTTCATCCATACCTCCATCACACACTGCAATGCTCCTGTATTTCAGAACAAGGTACACTTCATCCATACCTCCATCACACACTGCAATGCTCCTGTATTTCAGAACATGGTACACTTCATCCATACCTCCATCACACACTGCAATGTTCCTGTATTTCAGAACATGGTACACTTCATCCATACCTCCATTACACACTGCAATGCTCCTGTATTTCAGAACATGGTACACTTCATCCATACCTCCATCACACACTGCAATGCTCCTGTATTTCAGAACATGGTACACTTCATCCATACCTCCATCACACACTGCAATGCTCCTGTATTTCAGAACCTTGTACTCTTCATCCATACCTCCATTACACACTGCAATGTTCCTGTATTTCAGAACATGGTACACTTCATCCATACCTCCATCACACACTGCAATGCTCCTGTATTTCAGAACCTGGTACTCTTCATCCATACCTCCATCACACACTGCACTGCTCCTGTATTTCAGAACCTTGTACTCTTCATCCATACCTCCATCACACACTGCAATGCTCCTGTATTTCAGAACCTTGTACTCTTCATCCATACCTCCATCACACACTGCAATGTTCCTGTATTTCAGAACCTTGTACTCTTCATCCATACCTCCATCACACACTGCAATGTTCCTGTATTTCAGAACCTGGTACTCTTCATCCATACCTCCATCACACACTGCAATGCTCCTGTATTTCAGAACCTGGTACACTTCATCCATACCTCCATCACACACTGCAATGCTCCTGTATTTCAGAACCTTGTACTCTTCATCCATACCTCCATCACACACTGCAATGTTCCTGTATTTCAGAACCTGGTACACTTCATCCATACCTCCATCACACACTGCAATGCTCCTGTATTTCAGAACCTTGTACTCTTCATCCATACCTCCATCACACACTGCAATGTTCCTGTATTTCAGAACCTGGTACACTTCATCCATACCTCCATCACACACTGCAATGCTCCTGTATTTCAGAACATGGTACATTTCATCCATACCTCCATCACACACTGCAATGCTCCTGTATTTCAGAACCTGGTACACTTCATCCATACCTCCATCACACACTGCAATGTTCCTGTATTTCAGAACCTGGTACACTTCATCCATACCTCCATCACACACTGCAATGCTCCTGTATTTCAGAACCTGATACACTTCATCCATACCTCCATCACACACTGCAATGTTCCTGTATTTCAGAACCTTGTACTCTTCATCCATACCTCCATCACACACTGCAATGTTCCTGTATTTCAGAACCTGGTACACTTCATCCATACCTCCATCACACACTGCAATGCTCCTGTGTTTCAGAACCTTGTTCTCTTCATCCATACCTCCATCACACACTGCAATGTTCCTGTATTTCAGAACCTGGTTCTCTTCATCCATACCTCCATCACACACTGCAATGTTCCTGTATTTCAGAACCTGGTACTCTTCATCCATACCTCCATCACACACTGCAATGTTCATGTATTTCAGAACCTTGTACTCTTCATCCATACCTCCATCACACACTGCAATGTTCCTGTATTTCAGAACCTGGTACACTTCATCCATACCTCCATCACACACTGCAATGTTCCTGTATTTCAGAACCTGGTACACTTCATCCATACCTCCATTACACACTGCAATGCTCCTGTATTTCAGAACCTTGTTCTCTTCATCCATACCTCCATCACACACTGCAATGTTCCTGTATTTCAGAACATGGTACACTTCATCCATACCTCCATCACACACTGCAATGTTCCTGTATTTCAGAACCTGGTACACTTCATCCATACCTCCATCACACACTGCAATGTTCCTGTATTTCAGAACCTGGTACACTTCATCCATACCTCCATCAGACACTGCAATGCTCCTGTATTTCAGAACCTGGTACACTTCATCCATACCTCCATCACACACTGCAATGCTCCTGTATTTCAGAACCTTGTACTCTTCATCCATACCTCCATCACACACTGCAATGCTCCTGTATTTCAGAACCTTGTACACTTCATCCATACCTCCATCACACACTGCAATGTTCCTGTATTTCAGAACCTTGTACTCTTCATCCATACCTCCATCACACACTGCAATGCTCCTGTATTTCAGAACCTGGTACACTTCATCCATACCTCCATCACACACTGCAATGTTCCTGTATTTCAGAACCTTGTTCTCTTCATCCATACCTCCATCACACACTGCAATGCTCCTGTATTTCAGAACCTGGTACACTTCATCCATACCTCCATCACACACTGCAATGTTCCTGTATTTCAGAACCTGGTACACTTCATCCATACCTCCATCACACACTGCAATGTTCCTGTATTTCAGAACCTGGTACACTTCATCCATACCTCCATCACACACTGCAATGTTCCTGTATTTCAGAACCTTGTACTCTTCATCCATACCTCCATCACACACTGCAATGTTCCTGTATTTCAGAACCTGGTACTCTTCATCCATACCTCCATCACACACTGCAATGTTCCTGTATTTCAGAACCTGGTACACTTCATCCATAACTCCATCACACACTGCAATGCTCCTGTATTTCAGAACCCTGGCGCCTGCTATGGGTGGAAGTGTCTTTGCCTGGACAGTGAGTGAAGGATCTGAGATTGGTCCACCATTTGACGTCAGTTTCGCTTTCTTTCTGTTTGGGCTGGTGTTCTGGCTGACGATCCTCATGTGCTTGGTGCTGCCCGAGAGACTCAACAGACAGAAGAAGATACCATCATAATGCATATCGGGGGTCAAATAAAAGGTCGCACCTGGAGTGTTCTCTCACCCTCAAACTGCCATGCCCCTCTTGTGGTGTGTAGAGAGCAGAAATGCAGTCAGGCATAATAAATAATAAATATCTTAAAAGCCCTGGAAAGCCATGTTCTGCCCAAACATAGGTCAGGACACTTTAAATCATCCAAGCGAAGGACAGCAGTTTTGAGCATTCAATTTTGGGTAGCCCTACCCTGGTACGTACATAGACTATGTATCAGCGTCCAGTGAATTTTGGCTGAAATTATTCCACCTTTAGTCAGATACAATTAAGACACAAATTTCACACTGTATTTAAGATCGATGTATTACGTAAAACACGTTGTTTCCAAGGCAGCAATATTTTATATTTTATAATTTTATAATTATTGTTTTAATCTGTATTCTGTTCCACTGAAATACAGATGATGCAGATTTCTCGTGCAGTGAACTCTGTAAAATCATTTTATCCACACGTCTGTATATATTATTTCGAAGATTAAACATATATTTCGATTTCTCTCGTCATGTTTTATCATAAAATGTATATATATTGTGAGCTAAGGTTAAATGGGGAAAGCCGGTTGTTCTGGCAAACCAACACGCATAATCAGTTCGAATAGGGGATACAAAACCCACGACCGTAGCGTTCTGGCAAACCAACACGCATAATCAGTTCAGTAGGGGATACAAAACCCACGACCGTAGCGTTCTGGCAAACCAACACGAATAATCAGTTCAGTAGGGGATACAAAACCCACGACCGTAGCGTTCTGGCAAACCAACACGCATAATCAGTTCGAATAGGGGATACAAAACCCACGACCGTAGCGTTCTGGCAAATCAACACGCATAATCAGTTCAGTAGGGGATACAAAACCCACGACCGTAGCGTTCTGGCAAACCAACACGCATAATCAGTTCGAATAGGGGATACAAAACCCACGAGCGTAGCGTTCTGGCAAACCAACACGCATAATCAGTTCAGTAGGGGATACAAAACCCACGACCGTAGCGTTCTGGCAAATCAACACGCATAATCAGTTCGAATAGGGGATACAAAACCCACGACCGTAGCGTTCTCGCACCCCTAAGGGACGCAACATCGAATTGTGACTAGACTAGACTAGACTAGATATTTTTCGTTATTCGTTTCTATCAAAATTATATGTTTTTAGAGACTGAGCGCTGGCCCGTACGACTGATTCCGTCAAAATTATCGTCTATCTCTCGCTTCCGTGGTTTAAACATTTGAATGGAGGAGGCGTTGCACAGTACGTGGGAAGCACTGCCATACAATCGCAAACATATATTAGACATTCCAGAATGTTCGTTTGTTCAGTTTTCAAGATTTTAATCGAGAATTGTGTCAACATATTTTCAATGGTTTGGCAGCAATATTGGAGGTTTTGGCCATGCATTTGAGCACTTTTCTCACTACTTGTCTGTCAAAATCTTCTCTCAAACTATCAGAGCAAGGCCTACGAAGCTACAGTCAGTTAAAGAAGGCACTCATTCTTCTACCGGACTACTTGAAACTAACATGATTCCGCGACCTCGGCTGTGTTTAAGCTATCCGCTCTAGTGTCAAAAAGGGGTTCTTGGTTGTGTTTCTGCGATCCGTTCAGTGTGAAACACAGATTCTAGGTCACAAATACATTGTTTGTAACCACCTGTAACTCAGAAACCACTGGTCCGATTACGACCAAATTGTGTGTGTTCATGTAGACAATGATGTTCAACCGTAATCCTCAACAGCAGTCTCATAACCCGGAAGACTACACAGAGAGAAATAAAACATATTTCGTGTAGAACAACATCTTGTTCCTCACCAGATCATTCAATAGCCGTAAGACTTGGCACTTTTTAGTATCTACAGATGCTAGTCAGTATTGACAAGCATCCTCAAATGTTATACATGATTTCCATATGTCCTACGTACACCAAACTGTGATCTAACATGGTTTGAAAATGTCAATTTGCAGTAAGATAAAGAGATTGCACGACACTTCAATTAACTCAGAAATTACCTATAAACGGGTATCTTCACCGGTTCTGCAAAGAAAACGTTGAAACCTGGTGTTATTTATCAACATTGTATGTTGCACATGTTTTGTTCTTGGGTGCATGTGAAAACTAAAGCCGCTTGGCTTTCAGTTACATCTAAAACATTTCCAATCTCATTAAAATCAGATCTTAGTTCTCGCTACCGCTTAACAAAGATCTGAGGACATCCCATTACGGGTCACGTCAGACCGACCTTGCGCGAACTTTCACCGACCAATGGAATGACCAATCAGAAGGCAGCTTTATCGTGCTTTACGGCACTAATTTCAAATTGGTGACTACGCTTCGAAACATATTCTGACAAATTCTCGATAGATGTGACGCCATCATGCGATGTCATATCTGCGTTGCGGAATTGGTGGGAATTCATTATATCTAAGAATAGGTAAACAGTATTCTCGGCTACAGCCGTTGATGCTGGTGGTCCTAGTGGCGTGTTCCAATTGCCATGTGGGCAAATAGGCAGCTTTCTTATGGAAACTTGTCAAACTGGACCAGCACTAAAACGGAAATAAATTCTTAATAAAAACGGACCAGTGACATATCAGATTGTAATTAAGAAAAGAAATTACTATATACTATATAAAGCTGGGTATACCATACCATACGCACCATTCAATATATACCATACCATACAGAATACCACACGCACCATACCATACCATACACACCACGCCAAACAAACATACCATACCATACAAAACCATGCACACCATACCATACACACCATACCACACAATACAATACCATACCATAACATACACACCATACCATATCATACCATACCATACCATACCATACCATACCATACCATACACACATATATCCACCATGCATACAGGCAAGGGACACAAGGCGTACAGGGTTGACTACCCGTGAAGATCCGGGGTAGAATAGGTCTTCAGGAACCCTTGCTTGTCGTAGAAGGTGCCTATGCTTGTCGTAAGAGGCGACTAATGGGATCGGGTGGTCAGGCTCGCTGACTTGGTTGATGCATGTCACACCAATTGCGTGAATCGATGCTCATGATGTCCGTCACTGGATTGTCTAGTCCAGACTCGAGTCTTTAAAGACCGCTGTCATATAGCTGGAATATTGCTGAATGCGGCTTTAAACAATATTCAAACAAACGGAATTGGCAGACCCAATACAAACACTACATAATGCAGTCTACTGTACAAAGACATAGGCATGTATGCATGCAAAGTTAAACCCTCTTCAAACTAAAATTAACAAAAGCTTTAAGGTTATGTTTCGAGAGTCGCGTGCGCGACACATGGATTTTCCTCTCCGAGATAACACACCTGGGACGGGGACGAGCCGAGCGACCTTTCAGGAAACAAAGCATACATTTAAAATCGATTTTCAGTACACGTATGGCGACTAAGAGATTTGTGAATGTTTTGTTTTTTTGTAATCACGTACTCCAGTCATTTTTAAAGCATGTCGCTACATATATATAAAGTGAATAAAAGCGACCAGCCCTTTCTATAATCATGTTTGTTTGTTTGTTGTTTTACGCCGCACTCAGCAATATTCCAGCTTTATGACGGCGGTCTGTAAATAATCGAGTCAGGACCAGACAATCCAGTGATTGACATTATGAGCATCGATCTACGCATTTGGGATACGATGACATGCATCAACCAAGTCACCGAGCCTGACCACCCGATCCCGTTAGTCGCCTTTTACGACAATCATAGTCACCTTTTACGGCAAGCATGGGTTGCTGAAGACCTATTCTACCCCGGATCTTCACGGGTCCTGAAAACGTTCTGCTAAAATCAGAGTCCACTGTAGGATTCCGACTATATATATCATAAACACGTGTTTATGAATCACCATCAAACAGTGTCGATACCAAGTGATAGCCAAAAGGTGAGCGTATCCTGCCCAAAAAAGTTGCACCCGTCACAAACACATGCAAAGGTAAGTCAATTTAATCAGACACCAATTGTGTCACTGATGGGTGAAATTTAGAAATGTCTTCCCATGTTACCATAAATAAGTCCAGAGAACACCACATGATCAATGTCCAGTTTCCGAACGAATATTTGACCACAGAGCCACGGTCACATACGGTTTTTCGTGGAAGGGGATTTGAGTAAGATGTGCTGTGATACTCATTTTTCAATTTTGTGACGGGCTAGACGCACAAATGGCTTTTCCTCGGAGTCAGGAGTTTTACTCCATCTTTCAGTGAAATGATAATTTATTTTGAAGCGTCCGGAAAACAAAATAAATATCACGTGAAGAGGAAATCACTTTGATTGTATGACTTTATCTTTGACTGAGGAAGTGGAACCTGTTCTAGTCCTTCGTTGTGTCTAAACATTTAAATATAAAATATGGCCGAAATATTGCCGATGCGATGTAAAATTTAACTCACTCACTTAAATATAAAACGTCAACGTCAGTAACCTGACTCGGTGATCTGCGAAACAGGTGAGCTGAGGTGAAATGGGGTTTAACGTCGCGTCCAAGATTATTGCACTTATATTGCGATGTGCATGTACGTGTGTGTATTTGTGTGGCTGCTTGTACTTGTCCAGACTGATGCCGATTTATATTGCTAGCTCACAGAGATACCATGCCGCAGTTTAACATAAATACCCCACTCAGACACAGTATACTGACTCCGAGCCGACCAGTCCTTGTTTTAGCCCCTTAATGCCGAGCGCCAGACAGGGTAACAACAAGTACCATCTTTCAACGTATTTTCAACCCCGGCCCTTCCGCTCTCCGGGCGGACGCTCTACCACTAGGCCACGGAGGCGGTCGATCTGCGAAACAGATTCCATTGGGCGTAAAAGAGCATAACAATTATATAACAATTTAACGCGAGATTGCACGGGGAGAAGGCTGAAAGTGGGCTCGCCGCACCGTCTCCCCGTTACGCTATATAGTTCAGTCAAGTGCCATGCGACGACGGCCATTGACATGCATTCCACACTCCTTGACATGGGCCATGGGTATTGAAGTTATCGCGCGAGCGTGTTCGGATGGAAACACACTCTATATATAGGGAACAAACATTGCATTTAGCGAGCCTGGGCGAGCTGAACACATATTGTTTATCCTAAAACAGGAGTTATCACTTTCTGTGTCTCCTGATGGTCTCAAGAACGAGGATATCATGAACCTAGGAGTACGTTTAACTATAGATTCCTTGAAATTAACCAAACAGAAGAAGGTTATAGAGAGAATTACACTACCCCTGCTAATATTGTTGTCATGCAAATGTTAAAGAATTTATTAAAAAAAATAAAATTAAGTAGAAAGAAACACAAGAAACTAGCCAAATCATTCAATAAAGTATGTAGTGACACACATAGAACATTCTTTACACCAGTGGGGCGGTCGGGTAGCCTAGTGGTTAAAGCGTTCGCTCGTCACGATTCCCGGGTTCGATTCCCGACATGGGTACAATGTGTGAAGCCCCTTTCTGGTGTCCCCGCCCTGATATTGCTGGAATATTGCTAAAAGCTGCGTAAAACCATACTCACTCACTCACTCTTTGCACCAGTGAAATATGTGTATAAAGGTATTATATCTATGGTACAATCCAAAAACTTGTTTTCAGACCTTTTTTCCATGCAACCACGGTGTGGGATAAGGCGAAAACTTTTCTCACGTACTGTTCTCGTGCTTCGGAATCAATCACCATCATTTCAATGAATATGTACATCTTTGGGGACCCGTGAAGATCCGGGGTAGAATAGGTCTCCAGCAACCCATGCTTGACGCATTTTCCCGAGGCAAGAGAGTTAACTGCATGACTATAAAAGTCCAGTTTACAGTCAGTTGCCTCGGGAAGATGTGCTTGTTGTAAAAGGCGACTATGCTTATCGTAAGAGGCGACTAACAGGATTGGGTGGTCAGACTCGCTGACTTGGTTAATGCATGTCATCGATCCCAATTTCGTGGATCGGTGCTCATGATATCAATCACTATACTGTCTGGTCCAAACTCGATTGTTTACAGACCGCTGTCATATAGCTGGAATATTGCTAAGTGCCGCGTTAAACAACAAACCAACCAACCAACCCACAAACATCTTTTGGTGTTTTACAACGTGGTCGGCAATGTTCTGTTCTGTAACAAATGAACTGTTAGGCCACCCGTTGTTATCACCAGATGTTAGTTCCCGGCGTAATGGTCGCCTCGTTTGACTCGGATTCGCCTCGGTGGCAATACATTAAACTATCACTCACAGAATTATATCAATCTCATTAAAATCAGATCTTAGTTCTCGCTACCGCTAAACAAAGATCTGACCGACCTTGCGCGAACTTTGACTGACCAATGGAATGACCAATCAGAAGGCAGCTTTTTTCTGCGGTCAGCGGTCGTTCATAATATCAACCAGTCTTCTTGTGGCCCAGATTCGAGGATTTTAGGCTGCGTTAAACAGCATTCACTGACAAACTCTTGGATAACATACGCCACTGTGCACCCCAACCGTGCCTTTGATTTTTTTTAAATAGGCAATTATCCAAATTTTAATAGCTGACACATGCCATGATGATTCTACAGGTTCAGATCAAGGAAGGCGAGCATAGGTTAACATATGGTGTACGCTCAGTGCACAGCCGGCGGCAAAGATAGAACTTGTTCAAAAAAATGTGTCACGTGACCGCAAACTACGTAACCGTGGACCACGTGGCATCACCATTTTGTTTTATTTGATTTGAAGGATTTTACTTGCTTCGTTGTAACAGTTTCAAACATACTAAAACGTATAATGAAAAGTGAGTGGGTATGGTTTTACGCCGCTTTTAGCAATATTTCAGGAATATCACGGCGGTGAACACCAGAAATGAGCTTCAGACATAGTACCCATGTGGAGAATCGAACCCGGGTCTTCGGCGTGACGATCGAACGCTTCAACCACTAGGCTACCCCACCGCCCCTATAATGAAAAGAAAACACAGATTACATATTACACACTGTTGCAGGAATGAGTGATGATTACATAGACTTAATCACATTTAACATTGTCTCCCACCACAATCTCATTAAAATCAGATCTTAGTTCTCGCTACCCCTAAACAAAGATCTGAAGACATCCCATTAGGGGTCACGTCAGAACGACCTTTCATCCGACCAATCAGAACGTCGCTTACCAGATCATGAAAGTGACAGTCGGAATGGGATTTCTAATCATGCAACCTCGAAAACTTTAACACGGGGTATTCCGAACGATAGTTACGGGTTTAACGACTGAATCCATACAATCCATCTCTTAGCCATTCCAGAATGTTCTTTTGTTCAGGTTTCAAATTTGTAATCGAGAATTTGTCAAAATGTTTCGAAGCGTTGTCGCCAATTTGAAATTAGTGCCGTAAAGCACGATAAAGCTGCCTTCTGATTGGTCATTCCATTGGTCGGTCAAAGTTCGCGCAAGTTCGGTCTGACGTGACCCGTAATGGGATGTCCTCCGATCTTTGTTAAGCGGTAGCGAGAACTAAGATCTGATTTTAATGAGATTGTCTCCCACCACGGTACATCAGCTCCCTGTCTCACAGTTTTTGACTTCTCCACAGGTATTCAACACATTTTGTGTGATTACTGGTATGTTTTGTTTTTGAATGAGTTTATACAAATCATCTCCCCAGAAGGAAAGTTAAACGACACATTTTGTTGCTCCCAGCTTCCAACTTGATTGAGTCCAAGTATTTGGTTTCCGTGGCTTTCGTGTGAGGTCCCATTTTAACATGTTACGCTAAAGCCAGAATACATTGGCTTAAGTTCTCACCGCCCTCGACGCATGTGGTTCGTCTCGTCTGTTGGTGCCAAATTCCTTTCGTCGTCTCTTCAGGTTGGCTGACGATTGCACAGGTTTGTGAATATTAGGGGTATGGACCACATGGCTCGTGGTTGCTTCTGGTAGAGAGAGGCATAGCGTAGCACTGGGGCACACCACTCAGACGGCGAGTAGCGACCAGGTTCGGCAAGAGAACATTTTACCTTTTCAGGACAACAGGTGAGTAAAATAGAACTCCATAATTCCAGCCTAGTTCGGCAAGGGTGTGGAAACTGGACTTTTATAGTCAGTTAACTCCCTTGCCGCGGGACGATGGGGGTAAGGCACCCCATGTGCTACGTTTGCTTCTGGTAGAGAACCATAGGGACGCACCCCTTCTCTTCAGGTAGGCCAGACGTCTCAGACGGTAGGCATCTACCAGGTTCACCTTTTTCTTTTTTAGCGGTCAGATTATTTTGTATTTTTCAATGAAAATTGATGACGCTCATTTGAAAATTCAAATTTCAAGGTACTAGGGTGAAATTTCAAGCCCATGCGGGGAACATTAAGTATTACGTCAAATGTTTTAACATTGCTATTGCACGGCATCAGAATCCGATAGATCTTCGTATGAGCATCTTGAAAATAAACTTGTATCTTGAATTTTCAAGAATAAAGGAATTATATAGGTCTGATGGGCTTCCATAGGTTTTTGTTACAGGTATATTTCCACAACTAAAGCACCTACACAAGCCACCATTAATGGTAAGACTTCCGACCTATTTAAATGATTTTGAAACTTTCAAATATAACAATACAAAGGTAGATAGTCATGCTTTTATTTTCCAATCATGTTTATCCCACATGTCAACAAGTAAATCAACTAAAAATAGCATCTACAATAATAAAACCAACAAACAAAAGATGAAGGAAAATGGTGCAGAATCTGTTGGGCGATGACCCTGTGGACAGTGACCACTGAAGGGTCAAGCCTCTCACCAATACGGAGCAAGGTATTACTGTATACGGACTCACATGGAGCCCCAACACAAAACAGTTTAACTTAGCTGGAACTTAACCTTGGTTGACAAGAACTGTACATGTCATTCTTTGCATTTTCATGCACAAGCACAGATACAGCTTTTAATAAAATGTATTGGTGTACTTGTAAACTGCTAGCACATAATTCAGAAAACTGTTTGAATTTCTTTTGCCCCAAATTAGTCAGTTACTAGTTATGTTTGACCAAATGACTTAGTAGTTTTATTATAAGTGACCAACCATGAGATAAGGAACCTTATGGGTGAAAATCCACATTTAGACTTTTCATATTTTAAAACAGTATCTTAGGAACACAGGAAATGCACACCTCCTGGGTCTGCATGTGGACTGGTGTAGAGCTCCAAGGGCACACACCAAGTCCACTTACAGATGATCACTTAACCACATATAGTATGTAATCAACAAAATCCAACTTCACAACTAAACACTGCAGAAGCAACACATGGCTTTAAGGCACTGTTTAACTGATGATCTGTGATTGCAAAGCTCTTGAAATGTACTGTTTTTGTTCCACTGATGGCCCAACTACTTTCCCAAAGAAATGAAAGGTACTAGGACCTTCTTCAGAGATCTAACTGTAAAATTACTCATTATGCCAAAATATCAAAAAAGGATCCTATAACCATGGTAACAGTTGTATTAAGAGTACATCTATTCTTTGCTGGCTTTTCAAAAGAGCCAGTTCTTATTCAAGACAACATAAAATATCCCTTGCATTATCACTCCAACCTTATTTCTACAAAAGTTTATTTGTTTCACTCCATTGCCAAAGTAAATGTGTTCAGTGTGCCATGGATGAAGGTCTTTCTTTGGAAGAAATCAAAAGTAAACTTCCTCCCACCTTTTAAGGAAAAGATGATTGAAAATCTAATGATTAACTTACACCTACCTTATACTCATATTAAGAGTGAGTGAGTGAGTGAGTGAGTGAGTGAGTGAGTTGGGTTTAACGTCGCTCTCAACAGATCCTACATTGAGAATCGCAGCCCACTCGACAAATGGGTCCTGTCACATGAGGTATTTTGTTTACTCTTCATGACAACATTAAAAAGGAATCCTCACTAATTGCATATATAGCGATAAATATAAAATCAAAAGATATATTTTTAGTTTGGGGCATTTATTACCAAAGTGCAACTATTGGACAGGCACCTTTTGATTTGAAAACAGTAAAATTATTCCATGACCCTCAAGTCATGTTTGTTGGTATGGTTATTGGAGTAAAATAACTCTGGATTCATTTCAAACAAACAGAGGATGGAAAAAACATACCCAAATACTGTTGTTGTCATTGCCTATATATTAAAAGATATATTGAAGACTTACATAGGGTGTAAACAAAATATTGCAGCTGGTGTAGTCATATCAGAAATGTTCAACAAAAAATAAGTTTCCACAATCAGGCTGTATGTTAATGTTTGCAAATAAATATATATTCTATAGTTTCCTTTGGCCAGATTTTATTACCTAAACATTTGGTTTGAAGGTCGAAATAAAAAATAGTGTTTCAACAGGATATTTGGGGGGGTGCTTTGAGACTTAATTGAAGTCGGTGTGTGGAAATAAAAAGTCATCCCTGTTCTGGTCCTCTTAATAATAACTTGAATTTGACATGTGTTTTGAACTGTTTTGTTTTTCTTTTCAAGTATTAAACAAAAGATGTCTGCATTCAGGCAATTCCAAATGTTTGGCGATATTATTATTATTATTATTATCAAAACAATCTTACTGTTATTATTAGGTGTAAGGCCTAAGGTTTTATTGTATCAATGCTGATTATATCAGGAGCAGTAGATTACAGTACTATGGTGAGAGGTGATAATTGCACCTGCAAAATATGTGCGCTATAAACAATGCTTACACTGTAAAATGGAAATCCATGACGTTGTTTTCACAAATTAAAGGAACAAAAGTTTACAAAGTACACATTGCGTCATCTGACTAGATCTGCTTTCTGCTACATAATGCTGTACTTTACTTATAGCTGTTATATAAATAGGATTAGTGGAAAATGGTCTTGTTATATGTTCTAATATTGTCAGCAAACCCAGTAAGTTAGTTTATTATATGATCGATTGCAACTAAAACATAAACATGTATATAGATGTTTTCCCACAAAACAAATCGTAGATACTGGTACCCCTCTGTTGAAGAGAATATTTGACAAGTGTCACCATTCATTCCAACAGTCCTACAAGAAAAATCATTTTCTTTAGCATCATTAAAACTAGTAACCCATGGTCTACTTTTTCTCTCCTTTATTAATGGACAAATTACCTCATCTAGGTACAAAGTTTACGTCATCTATCAATGTTATGAAGAAATTAGTAAACACAATACACCTTTGTTCTTTGTAATAATTTCTTATTTAAGAATAATTTTCTGGAATGTGTAAGCAATCATTTCTTAAAAGCTGTCTTAAAGCAAGATTTATTTTACTATCAGGTATAATACAAATGAAAAATAGAAATTTGGGAAAGACATTTAAGAATATATTATCTTGTTTTAACTCCCTAGCAAAAATGAATTAATTACATATCTAAAAAAAATATAAATACATTTGTCAATATAGTATATAAATAATTGGTTTCAGCTATACATCTCTATGATCTTACGATTTTTAACACCCACCTATAAAATGGTCGGAAGGAAATAAATGAGTGGTTAAGACAAACCAGTGATTGATATTATGAACAACATCCCATGCAATCACCGTGGACCTGCGGCTGCCTCCTACAACAAGTACAGGCCCAGTTTGACCACTATGTCAGTGACAGCACAGGGTCACAAGGTCATTGATGTATTAGTGGTGAAACACATGAGAATAGTGCAAACCAAAGATTTTGTTTGTTTGTTGTTGTTTTATGCCGCACTCAGCAATATTCCAGCTATATGACAGCGGTCAAAAATAATCGAATCTGGACCAGACAATCCAGTGACTGACATGAGCATCGATCCACGCATTTGGGATACGATGGCATGCAACAACCTCGTCAGCAAGTCTGACCACCCGTTAGTCCCCTCTTATGACAGCGACCAAAGACCACAGTCAGGGAAATTTTGGATTCCAACCTCAATCAGCACATCCTGGCATGGCTAAGGGATGCAACTCTACACAATGAATTGAAGTGACAAGTAGGATAATGGTGCCCAGCTACTCTATGAAAACCAATCCTTGCCAACATGAAGGATCCATGTAGGTAGGAACAGGAAATATTTTAAATGGATGTTTGATCCTGAAATAACTGAATTTCTAGACATCTTGGTTAGATGTAGCCCCACCTGGTTAATTACTTTGCCCTATGATGAAATAGATGAAAAATAACTTGGAACACAACATAAGTGAAGTAATTGACATTTTTGTAACACAAGCAGTGAAAATTACAAGATGAAATGTAGAGGCATGAAGTGAATACAATGAAAGTTTCAACAGTACAGCTCGACTGATGATGAATGCAACTTCCCCTCAGATAACAGATAATGTTTTGATATTTACAGATATATATGATTACACAAACCGCAGTCCCTGTGATATGTCAAAGAACCAGTGCGAGGTAAATTTTGATCACTGCCAACCGTGGTATAACCGATTGTGACCATATCTCCACGGCCTATGAACGTGACGGGCTAGGTCACATGAATAAACTATTTGACTGAAGTATTGACAATGAGAGGAACTGAGTACATAAAGGCCATGAAGTATTGGTGAAGACCAAGAATCAGCTTCTATCATTGTACCATGTACCATGTACCATGTACCTCAAAACATTTACCCTTTCCAGTGAAATTTTTCCAAGTCCATGAAACCTCTTCTCCCGACAGACATGAAGAAAAGTATGTACAGGGGTAGTATATGAGTACCTTATTTCTAAATAACCATGTCACCAGGCATTCTCCCCTTTTTTTCCTCAGAAAGCAAAAAACAAATTCATTGGCAACCATGGCAGCATAGCTCTGGCAAGGACAGATAACTCTTCAGTTAAAATCCAGACAATTAAGAAATTCATAGAACTACCATAAAAACCAATTTCTTACCAGTCAAAATAGAAATTCATTGATGAACCTCAACGGATTTGTTCACACTGCATGTTTCAAATGACAAATACAATGATGAAAAACATTTGCATTAATTGTCATTGCCTTTCCCAAAACGTAATCACTAGTGTCCCGACAGACAAGAGAAAATCTGCCTACCATTGTAACCATCCTGTGTCCTTACAAAGCCACCAGGAACACTAACAGCATAGTCTGATTACTATTTTGATGTATATATGTTGACCTGAATTAGTTATTTGTGACAATCTTCAGGAAATCCTTCTTGGGAACACAAAAAATATATTAGTGATATTTACAACTTGAGATATTGCTGTTATTCCATGATAAACCCATGTCAATATGTACAGAGAATCCAAACAGTGTCTTTTGATATCAAACATATCAATTAAAGTAGAAAACTGAGGATGCTTTCTCTCTTATCAGTATCAAAATATCCTTTTATGTTGCACTTTAAATTCTATTCTAAGGGGCGCGGTCGGCTAGCCTAGTGGTTAAAGCATTCGCTCGTCATGCTAAAGACCCGGGTTTGAATCCCAACATGGGTACAATGTGTGAAGCCCATTTCTGGTGTCCCCCGCCATGATATAGCTGGATTATTGCTAAAAGCGCCATAAAACCATACTCACTAACTCACTCTATTCTAAGGTGAGTGAGATGGGTTTAGCTAAACGTGGTACGGTATTTTAGTTCAATCAGGGTGCGTTAGCTTGATGTGGGAGGAAATCCCAAATTGATGCAGGTCTCAGATGTTTAGCACTTTGATGAAACCCACGGGCATTGAAACTATAGTCAGGTTGAATGTGAGATTCGAACCCATGATTAATATAGGTTTCTGGCATGCCTAAGGGACATCACTCTTCGCAGCAAATTGTAGTGCTTTAGATGGCTGGGCCACCAAGGCCCAACATTCTCAAAGGCTAAGTTCATAAAGTACATGACATATAATTTCAGCCAAATACAGGCGACCAATGTGAATTAGTGAGTGAGATGGGTCAGATGCCAGTTTAACAGTTTCACAGTAACATCACAGAGTGTCTGGTTAATGTGGTCGGAAGCCTAGCTGGATGAAGGTCATGGAGACAAACATGCTGATAGCGTCACCCTCGTCCGGATTACCATGGAAATGTACCCTGGGTACAAAGCTATACATCGAGTTGTACCCAGATGTCCGTTGCCGTATTGCACCCAAGCCATATCTAAGTGTACCCCAATTCTTGTTCTCTTTCAGCAGCATGGGCAACATCAACCCACTTTACGGTATAAGGGGAGATAACTCTTTGTACAAGGGTAATGTTGACAGAAAGTGAAAGAATATAACATACAATTTCTTATTTCTAAAATCATCTATGTATATAAATGTCATGGCCATATTTCCTGATAAAAAAAAACTTAGAGCTAACTGTGTTATTTAATTTAATTTCACAAATAATAATTTCCGTCTCCAGATCCAAGTTCTTGAGAAATTCTGGTGGGAGCGGCGGCCATGTTGTTGAATGCCATAAACCGATCAGGAATTCATTTACGATATAGACGATGATAAGATTTCCAAAATCAGGGTACACTTAGGTATGGTCGTGGTACAAAACGATACGGCAAAAGAAATCAAGGTACAACTTGACGATATCGTTAGATACCCAGGGTACATTTCGATGGCAAACCGATCGAGACTGACCCTATCAGTCATTCTGGTCCCACTACCCACCAAGCAAGTATATCATAAGGGAGAAGGATGAGGGATATAAATAAGAAAGTAAACTCATTATGCTGAACAAAAACAACTAAAACCAAAAAATACTCAAGGTACATCTCTTACAAAGTCATGTCTGAAGGCCATATGAAAGCATTACGGAATAATTACAGAATAATCCATGATGACAAAACTCCAGCTGCAGCTCTGTTTAAGAAATAACCATCCTCTTTGTGCTGGAGATACACACAGTGCATAGTTGTCATACATGTACATGGTTTTCATAAGGTTTATGTACAGTGTATCAAAATATTTATCAACAAAACTCAACAAGAATTCCCGTCATGATCAGCAGACGTATCTTACACAACACGGACAAATTAACAACTACATTAATTAATCACTCCACAATCACAGAGCAATAATCACAGACATACAGATCAAGCAGATAGCTTATATGCACAATAGTAAAGTCACAAAGCAAGCAATGTTAAAGGATACTTCCAACATGGACTGGTTCTCGCTTTACACATCGTCAATACTTCACGGGTTTGTTAACACTTCATTCCTCCATACTTGTGAAGTATTGGTGATTGTGCTTACATAGTAGTTGAAAGAAAATAGTATCATTTCTTCTTCAAGCTTATTGGTCAGTTCGATATGATTTGCTCACCTGCATTGAGAAGCAAGCAAGAAGAAATTTATCATTAATAATCAGTCAGGGTGGCCTCTTGAAAATGTGGATTTGTAATTGTCCAAGAACCTTGTTTTTCACATACTTGGTCACGGAAAAGCACATTAATCATGTTAATAACTTTGTATGCCCTGTGTACTGAGGTCACCGACCTGTGAGTGTTTTACGGATTCCTGGCTTCTGGAGTTTGTGTGTTACCAAAATTAAATAAATACAATTGCCATGAATATACACAAGTCGTTAAGTCTTTCTTAGGGTAGGCTTGCACTTCTGTGATAACAAAAGTCATTGAAAACAGGTCTGAAATGCTCTAATTGAATTCACACAGAGAGTAGTGGAAACTGACTGAAAAGCCGCTTAAACAAGAGGTTCCCCGAAAGATCACAAATTTATAAATAATGCAGATTTCATCATCAAGTTGTTTCTGTCTGAATTTTATATGCTTTAGTAAACATAGGATTTGGGCCCAGTTCTTAATATTGTTATGTCCAAGTTGGTTCTAACAATGTTCTTCTGTAGCCAAAAAAAAATATGCCCTGAAGTGAGTACACTAGGATTTTGTAGCTCTCAAAAGCAACATATTCATAAGTAGCCGAGTTACAAATTTAATGCTGAGTAAAGAAAGGTAAAGTTCATACTTCAGAGTAATACACAAAAATATCACAATAGCATTCAATTGGTTGTAACCATGGTAACAGAAACATACTAAAACAATCCATGATCACGTGCATTTTCAACAAAATCTTAATTTCACAGCACTGAAATTATTACACACACAAAGTGGGATATAAATGGATTTCAATTTCACTTTTGGGGATATCACACTTGGAACATGTTTGGCCTTGGTGAATATTCATCTTCTAGCAATTGCAGGGATTTATAAAAGCTAGAGCTACGAATGAATCAGAACAAGGAACCAATGCTTGACTGACTACACAATGGCACCAGGTGTCTTTGATTGTTGGTGTTCTTGTACTCCCAGGACAATATTTATACAATTCATGTCAACAGCGTGATAGTGACACACAGACAGGAAGCTGAAACCACAGCCATCATTGTCAGCACTTCACAAGTTTGTACACACCATGTTCCTCCATCATCTGTCCATTTGCAGAGCAGTCGCTATTTTTAACCAACAAGTCAAGCAAGGCCTGGCTCGGGGGGGAAACTGTGCTCAACCAATGAGTACTCAGCTTACATCCCACGGACTGTAATGTTCCTCTCATGACATGGTGTATACCATGTAGGGCTGGGCTGGGATGGGTACCTCGGATACTCGGGTGGGTCCTAAGAAGGACCCAGTACCCAAGGTACTACCCGGTCCCGTGGTTAGTTATGCGTTATATTGTTTAATTACAATAACAAAAAAGTCGCTTATGTTTGCATTTCTTTCTGATTATGTACGCATTCTTTCTGACTTTTATCCATTTGAGTCAAGATAAAACTTCAGTCAACTTTGGCATATGCATGATAAGATTGTTTTATACATGTTTCAAAATACTTTTTGCCAGGGTTCTGGTTAACAGTTCCTAATCGGACATTTCATACCCAACTCATGAGACCACAAGCGGGAACCTGGGGAGGGTTGGGTAATAGAGGGTCAGGCACCTGGGTAGTATATTTGGACTTGTCCCAGCCCTAGCAATATGTACCATAGCCATGCATTCCTCTCCTCCACACACAGTCTCAAAGTCAGGTGATGATGCAGAGTTGGGCTCATTTTGACTAAAAAAAGGGCCTCATTCCATCAGCTGTAAAATTTGGATAACAATTTACTGAAGTCCAAATAACAACAATGGCTTCATGTTTCTTGCACTTCACTTCCTGTGTTCCGTTCCTCGGTTGTTGCAGACACACAGATAACGGTGAAACCCATGATCATGAGCAGGTGCTGACAATCCATGAATCACTGTCAGGGTGTATCTAGAATTCCAACTCATGCTCACAGAATTCTGGCTTTCTCTGCACACCAACATTTTCAATGCCTTTGATGACTTGGTCACCTTGTGCCCCACATGTCTTGAATTTGGAATGTAAAATCTACATCATTTGCTCAAGTTTAACGATCACTGATTGATTGTACCGTTCACCTGGTATCGCCCCAAGAAACAAATTTTAAAATAAAAGAATCATTGCTATCGCTATGTCCTTCGTACACATAGACATTTTCCTAACAGTAAAAATACAAGGGTCTGTTCCAAAAAGCGATCTGTGCTAAGATGATCGCAACTTCTATAGTTTAGCATAGGCTTACGATAGTCCTACCCCTAAGATCACTTTGTGGAACGAGACCCAGATGAACAATGTTTCACTGTAGTCAGATTCACAAAATATTTCATCCTTAGTCTTCACTGAAGAAGACACAAATAACGTTTGACAGGAAAAACACAATTTTCTGCTATGACATATGAAGATGCTGAAGATGCTGATGACGTTGATGATGCTGATGTTGATGCTGATGATTACTTTACAATTCAAGTTTTTTTATCACCTTTTGTCCAGACCATGGCCAGCTATATTAAGAAGTCAGGGTCGTTTCTGTACACGTCACTAGCTGTTCAGGTACAATGATGACAAAGTGACCAGGGTCAGTATTTGTTGTAATAGTTGCCTATTTTGAAATTGTGTATCTAGGATAATCATCTAAGATTGATTTGAATAATAGAACTTGAATTATCAGACATGGAAAGTATCATTTGCATGACTTGTCTGGGGTTACCACGTGACCAAGCCACCACTGGGTTCGTGAATTATTGAATAACTATTAAAATCAAAGTCTCAGTTTCCAGCATGGCACAAATTAGAACATCAAAACTTGAATTTGCACAGAATGCATCCATTGCATCCTTCCCAGAAGTAAGCTTGCTACTAGCGGTACCCATCCTTTCACAGTAGCGGTACCCATCCTTTCACAGTAGCGGTACCCATCCTTTCACAGTAGCGGTACCCATCCTTTCACAGTAGCGGTACCCATCCTTTCACAGTAGCTGCAACACTTAAGCGCCACAACTGACAACAACAGATGTTACAAGACAAAACCAACATGCTTCTGAACGTCATTAAATAAATAAATATATACACATATCTGTCACCTTGTTAAAAGCATGGTTTGAACTCACCCCGTGATGACTCCAACACACTGCTACTCCCCATACATGACTGCTATGTACAAGCTTGTAACCCATATAAACGGACATCAAAAGATGATTTCAGGGCACAATGAAAGTAGCTAGGGATAATCTGTCACTCCTTACATTCACTCTCACACAATGTCACCCAACTTTCAAATTCAGAGCCGTTAAAATCTGCATCACTCCCATTTTGTGAATTTCAACAAATTTTAACAACGATGGTGTGGTGAGCACTGACGTAGATAGCTACATCACGCTATGAGATTCTGTGGTGCATCTGGGTCACCTACACTGAAACCCTGGCAACAGGAGTGGTGTCAGTTGGCACTATGTGTGCTGATCTAAATGTCCACAACATCTGACTGTGTCTGGACAACGTCCGCGGCGTTGGATGTTGTCGCTGTTGTTGCTGCTAGGGTTGTGTTGGCTACTGTCTTCACGACCTCTCGGAGCTCATTGACTTCGGACTCGATGCTCCTGTAATGCAAATGAAAATCATACTAGTCAGAAACAAAGGTGAGGTGAAACAGGTTTTAATGCATTTAGGATTATTCAACTCATACTGCCTCGTACATGCGGCTGCTTGTACTAGTCCGGACCAAAGTTTTAAAGTGCTAGCTCACTGTGATACCTTGGGACTATTGAACATGAATTTTCCACACAGACCCATTATACTGACTGTGCTGACCAGTCCTTGTTTCAGCCCCTTAATGCTGAGCGCCAGGCAAGGTAAAAACAAGTACCATCTATTAACATCTTTTGATACAATGCAGCCGGGGATCGAACCACCAACCTGCCTCTCTCCAAGAAAATGCTCTCTCAACAAGATGGATACAATGATTTTCTAAACTTGTTGGTCCGTCCATCTGATGGGAGTGAAACAATACATGGCGAGTTCAGTGTGTCGCAACACTGTGACACAATATGAGTATCTTGTCATCATGTCATGTATCAATGCCCCAAAATACGGGTCTGTTATTTGACTCAAGTCTACTTTTACATGTTACCATGGTTACAATTGAGCTCCGGTACATTTCCTTTGCTGATGGACATGTTTCATTAACATCATAAGTGTCAAGTTTTCATTTAGCAAGTCTGTGCCAAATACTTTTGAGTCTACCAGCCCACTCTTAGCTCTTAACATCATTTTCAGACTGGTGTATTTTATAGATAAAATCATGAAAATGTCTTTGAGGTTTTGAGATGATGGCGGTGAAATGGAGTTTAACTTTGCGTCCCAGATTATTGCACTTACAAAGTAACGTACATAGTAACGTGCATGCACGTGTATGTGTGTGTGTGGCTCATTGTACTTGTCCGGACTTCACAGTGCTATCCCACTGAGATACCATGCCGCAGTTTAACTTGAATACCCCACTCAGACACAGTATACTGACTCTGTGCTGGCCATCCATTGTTGAAGCCCCTTAATGCCGAGCACCAGACAGGGTAATAAAAAGAATCATCTTTTAATTTTTGATGGCATGACGCGGCCGGGGATCAAATCCCCGACCTTCCGCTTTGAACTAGTGACAGATGTCACAGACTGGAATGTTCTCGTTTATCATCAAGGTGTGCGTCACATTTAGAACATTTAGAACAACGGACACCCTGCCAAAATCGATCCCCCACATACCTCCAGCTTTTGTTTGAGGTGTGGACCGTGGTGGTGTGGACGTCCATCTGCCTCTGCAGTCCGGAGATCTCTGACCTCAGCGAGCTCAGACAGGTCTGAAGGTTGTCCAGGGGTCTGTACAAGGGAGACAACTGGCTACAGTCACATCATCACAGCAACTATTACTGATATCCAGTACTATTGTAACCATCAATACACAAAATCTGCTATTAAAATGATGACTGAGCGAATATTTTAGCTACTGTTGGGTATCTTCTGGCTATATTATGGCATACTACTACTAGAGTATATATAGTCTTGGGCAGACCCGTGAAGATTCTGGGTTAGAATAGGTCTTCAGCAATCGTAGTAGGCAACTAATGAGCTTGGGTGGTCAGGCTCGCCAACTTGGTTTATACATGTCATTGTATCCCAATTGTGTGGATTGACACCCATGATATCAATTACTGGATTGTCCATGTTGTCTGGTCCAGACTTGATTATTACAGACAATATAGCTGGAACATTGCTGAGTGAGGTGTTAAATAAACAAAGAAAGAAACAACAATTAGTAAGAAATGATAAAATAGCGGAAATACCAGCCTTTTTTCGGTTTGAGGACTTTCAAACCCAAAATTAACTGTAGACTTCAATGCAGCAGGTATGTCAACTATTACCACCACATCTCATTGTTCACCATGCTTATAGTTAGAGGTGGCGCTGTGCTACTTCTGCCATTATGAGAGGCTGACCTGCATCACTTCTTGTTCTCTATATACCGTATATCGCTGTGTATAAGGCGACCCCACGTATAAGACGACCCCCCTGTACACGCCTTAAAAATCAACCCAAAATCCTATACTCCGTGTATAAGGCGACCGGGAATGAAACATATCACAAGTCTGACTGATATAGAAGATTAACGTGCGCTTTCCGACTGTAGCGTATTTCGCACACGGACATCAGAAGTTAGTTAGTTACTTTAGAGATTTAACGTGCGCTTTCCGACTGATGCGTATTTCGCACACATTACAAGTGCGCACACAAACCTTATATATGCAATAAAAATATGTTTATCTTGCGTTGTTTTTTTTCTACACCGGTTATCACATGTTAGGTCACATGTGCAATATGCAAATGCTTACCGGTACTTCCGGCTCGACCACTCGCGGATGTTGATTGTTTTACCGTGTCAATCTGCATCGAGGCGAGGGTCATTTCAACTTTATTTGCAGAAATTATTAAACTTTATTCAAGGGAAAGAGATACAAATCATGTTTATGTATGGAAATAGTTATTGGAACAGTTATTGAGGACGAAATGCGAAGTTATATTGTCAAATGCTGGGCTGGCTATCGGACGCCGGTTGACATCGCCAGTGGGAAAAAAATGTTAGATCTTCGACTCCGTGTATAAGACGACCCCCCTTCTTAGCCCCCTTATTTTAGGTACGAAAAACTCGCCTTATACACAGCGATATACGGTAGTGTATCACACCTTAAGCTGACTATTCAAGCATCGCTGTTAACTTATTATCGATAACCGTGAAGATCCGGGGTAGAATAGGTCTTCAGCAACCCATAGTTGCTGTAGGAGGTGATTATGCTTGTCGTAAGAGGTGACTAATGGGATCGGGTGGTCAGGCTTGCTGACTTGGTTGATGCATGTCATCTAGCCCAATTGCGTGGATCTATATCATGACATCAATCACTGGATTGTCTGGTCCAGACTCGATTATTTACGGACCGCCACCATATAGCTGTAATACTGCTAAGTGCGGCATTAAACAACAAACAAACAAACCTTAGTATTGACAAAATCGTAGGTATCGGTTCAATGTTACAGCCCTAGTATTGGAGTAAATTCTCTGATTGTAATGAGATGGTGCTGGAGTGGACGTGACTCACTTGCTTTCCAGGGCCTTCACTGACGTGTCCTGCAGGAGTCTCTCCACAGCCTCCAGGTCAAAGGACGGGGCCGGGAGGGGGAGGGGGATGTCAAAGTTGACCTGCGTCCCCTTGTCCTCGCCGCTGGATGTAACTAGCCCATCACCTGCCCCCATCTGCAGCTCTTTTTTCTTCGAAATGATCTTCTTTGCAAGCTGCAGATATGTAGTTATCACAAGCATGAGTATCTAGGCTAGAAGTCCAACCTCTGTATATCAGAATATCAGCACAACTGACAAATTCAACTGATGAATGATAAAACACACATCTGATAAACAGAAACATGAACTTGGAGTAGAATCATAAAACTAGAAACATATTATAAATAGTAAGAATTTATCAGGATTTTAGTCAGAAATTGATGGTGGAAAGAAAATCATAATTCCTTGATATTGGGGTTTGGGGAGTTTACAGGCGTGTAAGTTTCTATCTGACAAAATCAACCTTTCAGGGGTTTTACAGTTAAAGTTACAATTCAGCCATAATTACTGCAAAGAGTACTCCATTGTAGATACCAAAATGAGCCCAAAAGCAGTCCACTTGACATAATCTGAAGCTCCATCACAGCACTAGGTTTAGAACCATTGTTAACATGGCTGAGTTGGTTTTACTTTTCACATTTTCACAACTGGCCAGACTAATCTCAAAAGTTGGTTTATGAATCCAACAACTCCCCAAAATTAAAATGCTAACAAAGCGCGGTCTTAATTTGAACTCTCCCTAACCTTATGGTGCTGCACAGATGACTTGAGGGCACTCCGGAGTTCCGTGACTCGGGTCTTCTGACTCAGCTTGTCCTTCCTAATGGCTGCCATCTCCGCCTTCAGGGTGTCAATCTCTTCCTGCTTTTCCTGCACAAGATGACACACATGAGGCAGTGACATTTAACACCATCAGCAGCAATGCCACAGCTCCATTTTAACAAATCCAGTTTGTGCATCAATAAACATCTCGGTAACACGGTGCATGATCAATAAGTTCCTACTGAGTAGCCATTGTGACCATTTCATCCAAATTTTTGTTTCCTCTTACAAGGGTGTGTGAGTGAGTTGGGTTTAACGCCGCTTTTAACATTATTCCAGTTATATCACGGCATGTCAGCTTAATGTGGGAGGAAAGCCCGAAGTGATGCAGGTCTAAGACGTTTATCACTTTGGTGAAACCCACGAGCAGGGGTATGGTGCTGACAAACCTAGAAACATAATTGGGGCAAACCGGGATTTGAACCCACAATCATAGGTTTCTGGCGTGCCCAAGGGACGCAACTCTGCACAGCGAATCGCAGCGCCTTAGACGATTGGGCTACCCGTGCCCCCTCTTACAAGGGTATTGAGGGGTCGATTCTGATCCGAGTCTGACACCTGATCCATTACGTTACCTTGTACAACAAGTATAGGTTGCTGGGGACCAATTCTAACCTGGAATCACACTTGTACATGATTGAACATAGGTCTAACCGATTCTGAATTAGAAATACTGGGATACAGGCAAGAGAGGGAGCAGGCCTCAAAGTTTAAATATTTACCAAGTAAATATGGCTACAAGTGGGTTTTTTCCAGGTAGCCAGTGGTAAAATTAAGAAGTCAAGCCACTATGGTAGGTAGCCAAAAGCATTTGAAATGATCTTTTATCAAATAACTATTATATGTACAAGTCACAGAATTAATCTTGGAATTGTATATTAGTGGAAACTGTACTTGAGTATTGTTTTTTGGTTCATTGACTGTAGGAGGAATTATTCGCGAGTAAACTTAGTAGCAGACACGTTTATTTTTGTGTCTACAAATGAGCAGCAATAAAAATTTTCAAGACAGTCATTTGGCTACCTCTGAATTTTAGACAGTAGACAAACTGAAAGTTAGGTCACATTTGCGACCGTTTTAGTCGCAACTTTGAGGCCTGGGGAGGGTTATTTATTCAGGAGTTGCTGCATGTAATGACATCTATTTTGACCATAGTCAATGTAGAGTGATGCTGCTGCCTGTACCCACCTGCAGGGTCTTCCGCATGCTGTCCAGCTCCGTGTGCTGCCGGAGCTCCGCCAGTCGCAGCTGTTCCTGCAGCTGGTCCACCTCCACCGCCTTCTGCTGCAGCTGCCACTGCAGGGACTGCAACACAACATGCATGTCACTGGCCAGGCAACAGAGTCACCATTTCTCTTTCACCTACAAAACTTGGTGTCCACAGGACCCCCAATTACTAGTTTCAAGAGTCCTTGCAGGCAAAACGAGGGTTCTGTATAGTAATCAGACATGAGAACAACCAAACTGGTTTTTGGAGGAACATCACCAATCTAGGTTTTTTGGGGGGCATGTCCCCCCAAGAAAATTTTGAAAACAAGGATTAGAATAAGTGCATTTTACATCATTCTTCCAACTTTCTCAGTGAGTGAGTGAGTGAGTGAGTTTGGTTTTACGCCGCTTTTAGCAATATTTCGGCAATATTACGGCGGGGGACACCAGAAATGGGCCTCACACATTGTACCCATGTCGGGATTCGAACCCGGGTCTTCGGCGTGACAAGCAAACACTTAAACCACTAGGCTACCCGATCGCCCCCAACTCTCTCAGTTTATAATCAGTAAAAAGCAGATTCTTGCGTGTAAAGAGTACACCTGACCAGCTTCAGTGGCCGAGATTAGTGATGCCATTTGATTGTGATGTTACATGTAAGTAATATAAACAGTATTTAGCTTACTAAAATATTTTAACCACACTTGGACATACTGTTAGAAAACATAATAATATCTACATGTCAGTGTGCTATTTTTTTCGCAGCCCTATAGAAACATGCATTCTTTCTGTCATATATAGTATGAGGTCATGCAATGACATAGCATCATCGTTAAAAGAATGTACTGGCTGCTCCCATTCAGCTTTGCCATCATAAATGGGAATTCGACGTTAGTCTCAAGATTATGGGGGGCGGTCGGGTAGCCTAGTGGTTAAAGCGATCGCTCGTCACGCAGAAGACCCGGGTTCAATTCCCGACATGGGTACAATGCGTGAAGCCCATTTCTGGTGTACCCCGCCATGATGCTGCTGGAATATTGCTAAAAGCGGCGTAAAATCATACTCACTCACTCACTCACACACTTAAGATTATCGGCATCCCTGCTTCACATTGTTGACAAAACACCTTGAGCAACAGCCACTCTTCATGCATCTCCTACCTGAATCTGCTCCATGATGAGCGGGTTGCGCGCGATGTTGTCCGCAAGATCCCGCCTCACCCTCTCCAGCTCCTGCTCCAGCCCCTTGTTGGTCGACGCAAGGCTGGTCACCTGGGCCTGGTGGCTCAACGCCGTCTGTCTGCTGGAGTCCAGGTCAGCCTGCAGCTGGTTCAGCGTTGCATCCCGGGTCTGTACGTCCTGTCGCAACTGCTCCTGGTCCTGCTTGGAAGCTTCTGACTGTTTCTTCAGACGCTTGTTCTCGGATATCTTTGTCCCGATCTGTGGTACAGAACAATCTGTTAACTACTGATTTTATTTAAAGAATATTTATAAACATGAAGAATTTATTAAGAACAGATGTTAATTAACTTCCTGTTGGGGAGAAATAAGGAACAGAAAGGCTACTTGCTTCCAACTCTGAACATTCATACATTACTGGCAAACGACCAGGCAGGAAGGAACAAAACATTTGTGAAAGTTGGTTGAAAATGAATAAAACATGCCAAAAAACAAATAACTGTGTTCCTCTATCCAACTGCTTCCCAAGGTACCCCACCTCTACCCACCTGCTTCCTGAGATCCTCCCCCTCTACCAACCTGTTTCCCGAGGTACCACCCCTCTACCTACCTGCTATCTGAGGTCCCCCACTTCTACCAACCTGCTTCCTGAGCTCACCCACCTCTACCCACCTGCTTCCTGAGGTCCCCCCACCTGCTTCCCGAGGTCACCCACCTGCTTCCTGAGATCCTACCTCTACCCACCTGCTTCCTGAGGTCCCCCTCCTGCTTCCTGAGGTCCCCCACCTGCTTCCTGAGATCCTACCTCTACCCACCTGCTTCCTGAGGTCCCCCCACCTGCTTCCTGAGATCCTACACCTCTACCCACCTGCTTCCTGAGGTCCCCCACCTCTACCCACCTGCTACCTGAGGTCTCCCACTTCTAGCCACCTGCTTCCTGAGGTCCCCCGAACCTGCTTCCTGAGATCCTACACCTCTACCCACCTGCTTCCTGAGGTCCCCCACCTCTACCCACCTGCTTCCCGAGGTTCCACACCTCTACCCACCTGCTACCTGAGGTCTCCCACTTCTAGCCACCTGCTTCCTGAGGTCCCCCGAACCTGCTTCCTGAGATCCTACACCTCTACCCACCTGCTTCCTGAGGTCCCCCACTTCTACCAACCTGCTTCCCGAGGTTCCACACCTCTACCCACCTGCTACCTGAGGTCCCCCACTTCTACCCACCTGCTACCTGAGGTCCCCCACTTCTACCCACCTGCTTCCTGAGGTCCCCCACTTCTACCCACCTGCTTCCTGAGGTTCCACACCTCTACCCACCTGCTTCCTGAGGTCTCCCACTTCTACCCACCTGCTTCCTGAGGTCTCCCACTTCTACCCACCTGCTACCTGAGGTCCCCCACTTCTACCCACCTGCTACCTGAGGTCCCCCACTTCTACCCACCTGCTACCTGAGGTTCCCCACCTCTACCCACCTGCTTCCTGAGGTCCCCCACTTCTACCCACCTGCTACCTGAGGTCTCCCACTTCTACCCACCTGCTTCCCGAGGTCTCCCACTTCTACCCACCTGCTACCTGAGGTCCCCCACTTCTACCCACCTGCTACCTGAGGTTCCCCACTTCTACCCACCTGCTACCTGAGGTTCCCCACTTCTACCCACCTGCTACCTGAGGTCTCCCACTTCTACCCACCTGAGGTCTCCCACCTCTACCCACCTGCTTCATGAGGTCTCCCACTTCTACCCACCTGCTACCTGAGGTCTCCCACTTCTACCCACCTGCTACCTGAGGTCTCCCACTTCTACCCACCTGCTTCCTGAGGTCTCCCACTTCTACCCACCTGCTACCTGAGGTCCCCCACTTCTACCCACCTGCTACCTGAGGTCCCCCACTTCTACCCACCTGCTACCTGAGGTCTCCCACTTCTACCCACCTGCTACCTGAGGTCTCCCACTTCTACCCACCTGCTTCCCGAGGTCTCCCACTTCTACCCACCTGCTACCTGAGGTTCCCCACTTCTACCCACCTGCTACCTGAGGTTCCCCACTTCTACCCACCTGCTTCCTGAGGTTCCCCACTTCTACCCACCTGCTACCTGAGGTCCCCCACTTCTACCCACCTGCTACCTGAGGTCCCCCACTTCTACCCACCTGCTACCTGAGGTCTCCCACTTCTACCAACCTGCTACCTGAGGTCCCCCACTTCTACCCACCTGCTACCTGAGGTCTCCCACTTCTAGCCACCTGCTTCCCGAGGTCCCCCCACCTGCTTCCTGAGATCCTACACCTCTACCCACCTGCTTCCTGAGGTCCCCCCCTTCTACCCACCTGCTTCCCGAGGTTCCACACCTCTACCCACCTGCTACCTGAGGTCTCCCACTTCTACCCACCTGCTACCTGAGGTCTCCCACTTCTACCTACCTGCTACCTGAGGTCTCCCACCTCTACCCACCTGCTACCTGAGGTCCCCCACTTCTACCCACCTCTACCCACCTGCTACCTGAGGTCCCCCACTTCTACCCACCTGCTACCTGAGGTCTCCCACTTCTACCCACCTCTACCCACCTGCTACCTGAGGTCCCCCACTTCTACCCACCTGCTTCCCGAGGTCTCCCACTTCTACCCACCTGCTACCTGAGGTCCCCCACTTCTACCCACCTGCTTCCCGAGGTCCCCCCACCTGCTTCCTGAGATCCTACACCTCTACCCACCTGCTTCCTGAGGTCCCCCACTTCTACCCACCTGCTTCCCGAGGTTCCACACCTCTACCCACCTGCTACCTGAGGTCTCCCACTTCTACCCACCTGCTACCTGAGGTCTCCCACTTCTACAAACCTGCTTCCTGAGGTCTCCCACCTCTACCCACCTGCTACCTGAGGTCTCCCACTTCTACCAACCTGCTATCAGAGGTTCCCCACTTCTACCCACCTGCTTCCTGAGGTCCCCCACTTCTACCCACCTGCTTCCTGAGGTCCCCCACTTCTACCAACCTGCTTCCTGAGGTCCCCCACTTCTACCCACCTGCATCCCCAAGTCACCACATCTACCAACCTGCTTCCTGAGATACTCCACTTCTATCCACCTGTTCCCCACTTCTACCCACCTGCTTCCTGAGATATTCCGTTCTATCCACCTGTTCCCCACTTCTACCCACCTGCTTCCTGAGGTCCCTCTGGCCATCCTTCTCCTTCTGAAGGAGGTCCTCGAGACCCTGGATACGGCGGAGGTAGTCCTGCTGGACGGTGTCCTGTCCAGCCATGGCATCGCTCAGCTGGGCGTGGACCTCCACCAGGGATGACTCTCTCCGGGCCAGGGCCTCCTCCAGCTGAGACACATGCTGCTTCAAGGAACTGTTGTTCTGCACTAAACCTGCAACAAACACATCCGCTTACAAATACATACAAATAACTCGAAGACCTGGGACTGGGACAGTCTGTCTCCGTGGTCTAGTTGTAGAGCCTCTGTCCGGAGAGCGGAAAGTCAGGGGTTTGATACCTGGCCGCGCCATACCAAAAGACGTTAAGAAATGGTACTTGTTACACTGCCTGGCGTTCGACATTAAGGGGATAAAACAAGCACTGGTTGGCTCTGTGTCAGTATACTGTGTTTGAGTCAGGTACTCATGTTAAACCGTGACATGGTATTTGAGTCAGCTCACACTAGAAAATCCTTATTAGTCAGGACTAGTAAAAACAGCATGCATGTCGCTATAAAAGTGCAATAATCTTGGACGCGATATTAAACCACACCTTTTACCTGAGATCTCTACTATTAAAGGCTTGAGTCCCTGGATACCCAAATAAAATAATTAGGGTTAAATCCTTCAATAATCCCTATCTTTCAGAGCCTGATAATGAAAATAGAAAACAAATGAAAAACACATCCGCATAAGATAATGAGAGGAAGCAATTGTAAATGGATGTGATGGTCATGTGATAACCTGTATATCATCATCCCTCCACAAACCTGCCAATCTGCCTCGCTCCTTCTCCAGCTCCAGGGACAGCTGCTGGTTCAGTTCGTCAGTCTTCTCCCTCTCACTCTCTTCCTCCCTCTCCTGCTGGAGAGCAGCTTCAAGGGCAGACAACTCCTGCCTCAGTGTGGCAACTTCTGTCTCCTTGGCATGTTGTAGAGCTATGAGTTGACTGTGAAGTTCTTGCTGTGATAGGCGGGATGTTGCCAACTCACTGGCCAGACTCTGGTTTGAAAATTAATGTTCAAGTTCCACATGAGGCTATCACAAGTGAAGCAGGCAACACAAAACTCAGCTGCCAGTCTATGTCTCGAGATGTACATGTTGTTAGCATAAGGTAGATACTATAGTTCCTGATCCCCCAGCACCTGCTTCCTAAGATCCCCAAGCACCTGCTTCCTGAGATCCCCCACAACCTGCCCCCACCCCCTGAGATTGCCACCATCTGCTTCCTGAGATCCCCCAGCACCTGCTTCCGGAGATCCCCTAGCACCTGCCTCCTGAGATCCCCCAGCACCTGCCGCCTGAGATCCCCAGCACCTGCCGCCTGAGATCCCCAGCACCTGCTTCCTGAGATCCCCCAGCACCTGCCGCCTGAGATCCCCCAGCAACTGCTTCCTGAGATCCCCCAGCAACTGCTTCCTGAGATTCCCCAGCACCTGCCTCCTGAGATCCCCCAACACCTATTTTCTGAGATCCCCCAGCACCTGCTTCCTGAGATCCCCCAACACCTATTTTCTGAGATCCCCCAGCACCTGCTTCCTGAGATCCCCCAGCACCTGCCTCCTGAGATTCCCCAGCACCTGCTTCCTGAGATCCCCAACCACCTGTCTCCTGACATCCCCAACCACTTGCCTCCTGAGATCCTCCAGCACCTGCTTCCTGAGATCCCTAACCACCTCCTTCCTGAGATCCCCACCCCCTCAAGCACCTGCTTCCTGAGATCCTCAACCACTGCTTTCCTGAGATTCCTACACCTACTTCCTGATATACCCCAGCACCTGCTCCCTGAGATCACCCACCATCAGCTTTCTGAGATCCTTACACCTGCTTCCTGAGATTGCCAAGACTCTACACAAGATATTGCAAAAACAATATAGGTTGGTAAATTTTTAATGTGTAAATGTCTTGACTCTCCTAGCAAACCTACAGGCAATATATAATATTCATACCAATTTGAGTGAGTGAACAGTATGGAAGGCTAATGTGCAATGTAGCACAGACAATACGTATTTACAAAATGGGTCAAACTCACAAGAACAGTTATGGTGCTGACACACCCAGGACCATCATCTGGGTGATGCTTGGCCTCAAACCCAGTATCAGCAGATAATGGTACAAGTAAGGATGCAACTCTGAACAGTGCACTGCTATGCCCCACACATGTTTAAGAAGCGCATCCTCTTATATCCATGCAGCATCACCTACCTGTAGCTCTGTCCTCATCTGGTCCTGCTGTTCAATGGAACTGATCTCAAATTTTCTCTGCATCATCTCCAGCTCTGTCTGCACCTTCTCCTTCTCGGACATCACCTCACGTAGGCGGGAACTCAGCGTCTCAACATTTTCCTCAAACGCCTCCTGCCTTCTCGTCAACTCTTCCTTCAGAGAGGTGAGGTCGTTATTAAGCTGTTCACTGTGCTCACTGTGTTTCTCTCTCTCAAGCTCTCGCCTCTGTTCTGATTCTGCTAATCTGTCATTGACAGCCTGGTTCTCCTTGGAGATTTCCTCGTACCTCTCATCCGACACAACACTAGCACTACTCTGCTGCACACTGACACTGTCCACCTTCACTGTGCCTTGTTGATTTGCTGCCTCTAGCCTTTGTTTTGTTTCTGAAAGCTCCATAATCAATGCATTTCTCTCGGTCACACTCGTATCCTGAGTTGACAGAATCGCAGCTAACTGTTCCTTCAACATTTTCACATCACTCTCCAAAGAGTTCTTGTGAATCTCTAACTGTTGCACCTGAGTTGACTTACCATTATAATCCTTATGCATTGAGTCATAGCTACGGTTTTTTATATTGAGATCCTTCCTCATTGTCTCCAGCTCCCTCTGAAGTTGAGACTTGTCTGAGTTCACCTTCTCTAACTCAGCCAGCTTCATACTGAGTTCACTCTTCATCATCTTGAAGCTCTTCTCCACCTTGAACATATCCTTCTGAAGTTTCCCCAAGGCTTCATCCACCACCGTCTTCTCCTCCTTCACAGCCTGGTACAAGATCTCTGCTGATGCCTTCTCCTCCCTCAGCTGAAGGATCTCCTTGTCCTTCCGTGTGATCTCTGCCTGGAAGGCCTTCAGTTGAGCCTCAACTTCAATCAGCTTCTGATTCACATCCTCAAGCTCCTTCTCCTTCTCCATCAGTGTTTCCTGGGATAGAGTCATCTTCTTCATCAACTCCATCTGTTCATTCTCCATGGCAAATATCTGCCCATGCTTCTTCTTCAGGTCTTCCTGAGCCTTGTCCAGCCTGGCTTGCAGGTCATTGTTAATTTGCATGAGAAGAGTCAGTCTCGACCTTTCATCTTCAGCTGAGGTAATTTGTGTATTGAAAGTATCCTCAATCATTGCCCTCTCTCTCTGAATCTCCTGGAAAGCAGCCTCACGTTCCATCATGTCAGATTCAATTGTTTCAAGATGCTTGGCCAGCATCTCTTTCTGTTTCAGAGCTCTGTGCTGAGCATCAGTCAGCTGCACCCTTAGCCTAGCATTGTCTGTTTTCAACCTCTCAACAATTGTTCCCTGGCTGACACTCTGGGCTTGTAGTATAGTCAACTCCTTCTGGAGCTGTGACCTGACATCATGAGCTAATTGTAGCTGCTGCTGGTACCATTCCTTCGTCTTCAGAAGAGACACAAGATCACTTTTGGCAGATTTTGTCTCATTTTCAAACTCCACTTTAACCTGTAGTCCGTTTTGCACTTCAACATACAGCTCAGCTACCTTGTTCTTCAGGGCCTGTACTGCTACTCCTTTAGACATGATATCATCTCTCAGATCTTTCATTCTGAGCTGCAGCTTGTCATGAGCCTCCTGAGTCATTTGAAGTTCTTCATGGGAGATTTTACTTTCTTCGATTTTCTCCTCTAGGAGTTTTTGAATCTCTCTTGCTGACTGCTCCAAGGTTTCTCGTGACTTCTTCAGCATATTAACCTCATGCTTAAGGGACTCTTTTTCTGGATCATGCTCTCCCCCTTTGTGAGACAAAATCTTGAGTCTTAGAGAGGCCAGCTGGGCTTGTAACTCAGCTCTCTCCTGGAGTGTGGACTGAGCCTCATGTGTCAGCACCTCCAGCTGTCCTTCCAGCTTGGCCTTCTCTCTCAGGACCTCATCCAGCTGCTTCTTCATAGCTGGACTTGCATCACCGTATTTGCTTGTCTTCACAGGACGCTGAAGCAGTGAGCTAGTATTGTACACAACCTGCTCTGTCTTTGGAAACAACGGGCCGATTTGAGGAACAAATATTTGCGGTTTGTTCACTGGAATTGCATAAGGTGTAGATGTAAGCGGATGTTGCAAAAGGGAACTAACATCCATGTCCACTCCCGAATCCGAGGATGTGACTTTGGCTTGTTGGGCAGGACTTGTTGCATTATGTACAGGTTTAAAAGAGGTTTCCTTCACAGGAGGCGAGTGTCTATGCTGCACAAACTGACTCATGTCAACTGATTTAACAGGAGGCAAAGATTTCAGGAAGGAGTCGGTTTCAGACTGGTTGTATTTCTCCAACTCCTGCTCGCTGGAGATACTGGACACACTCCTGGTATCGTCCGTCCTGTCACTCACACTCCCAGAACCATTCACGGGCCCATCCTGTACACTGTCCTCAGACACCTTCCTCTGCTTATCCGACTTCTTCTTGTCACCCTTCAGCCCCGACTTTGCTCCCTTAGAGTCCTTGCCCCCGAACCAACCAGACTTCTCCTTGGTGGTGGTGCGAGTGAGAGATCCTGCAGGGATGAGGATCAGTTCCTTGGGCTCAGCAGTATCTGCACTCTGTGGAGTTTCCCTGCCAGTGAGGGCGGTGTCAGTAGTATCGTGTTTGATCACTTCAGCTGTTGGTGATTGAGGCGACAAAGTTGGACTTGGCACCTACAAAGAAAGGTAAAGTTTGAAGAAACTTTATACTGAACATTAGGGCAACTCGGGTACTCGGGTCAGGTGGTTCCTGGGTAGGACCCGGGTACCCACAGTACTACCCGGACCCGTGGATAGTCACGTGATATATTGTTATATAGCACAAGTTATCTAGAACTCCCACGATTGCACTATAAGTGACTAATATTCGCATTTCTTTCTGACTATGCACGCATTCCTTCTTACTTTATACGTTTGAATAGAGATAAAACTTCAGTCAACTTAAATGAATGCACGACATCGTTTAATACGTGTATCTAAATACATTTTGCCAGGGCTACGGTCAAACTATTCCCAATCGGACATTTGTACCTATCCCTTGAGACCAACAGCGGGTACCCAGGTAGGGTCAGGTAATAATGGGGTGGGTCCCGAATAGGAAATTTTGACTCGTCCCAGCCCTACTGAATATGGTATTTCAGCTGTTTGTATCAAAAAAGTTTCAGTGCAATAGAAGCTGTGCCAAATCTTTTACATCTACTAGCCCAAACACATGTAGCACCCATTTCAGAAGATTAAAGGGGCTGACCATTTGATATTTGGGTTGTTAAAAACAAGAAGACAGCATTATCATGATTATCACTACCGTATTTTCTTGAGTATAGTGCACACCCATGTATAATGCGCACCCCCCTCTAGCGGGTTCAATATTTTGGAAAAAAAGAAATCTGAATATTATGCGCAGAAAATTTTTACACCGTATCCTTTCAGCGAAGTCCGGCAAACGAACGGGTGCTGAGAAACTTCGTCAGTACAAATTCGAAATTTGAGATAAAAAATCTCCAGACATGTTTATTTACCGTTTAAAAAGTATTTATTGTTCTGCTAGGCATTGTTTTATATTTAGGGATTAAGATTACCTTCCGTATTTTCTCGTAAACTAAGCTGGAAACAGCAATCAGCTGTACACACATTTTCTTGGAATCGACCGGTGATTCGGTCAAGACACACCCAATGATATAACTTTATAAGATTTTTAATGCAAGGATCGGCAACAATTGTATCTGAAACTATTTTATTTATCAGGAATAATATATTCCATTATTTTCTTAATTATATGCAACCTTTACTAAACATATTTAAAATAATAATAACCCTAAGCGAAGCAGCTGATCGCTATTCCCGGGTATTATTTTTTACATGGAACATGTCTGACCAGTCACCGTCAAGGCTCACGCGCACGTGATCGCGAGAATTTCATGTTGACATAGAATCGTCAAACAAAAACAAATATGACTTTTAACGAGGCAAAGTATGTCATTTATGATATATGTATCCATTCTCTGTCAACTAAAGTTTGTTTCAAGGCGTCAATAGCGGTATTCTGACCGTGGTTGCTGCTAATAACGGTGAGTTGTGCGATTTTCCGATCGCTTCACACACGATTTCGCCGAAATTAATAAAAACAATATTATAAGGAATTTTGAATAAAATCAATGAAATAAGTTACAAACATAAGTCCAGATATAAAAAGAACACTTTTTATAGCCAGACAGTGTAATTACATAAGTATTTTGCGTACTTCAGTATGGATTTGTTGACATGGTATTCCCGGTGTTTCGTGCTCACGGTAATGTCTTTCCATGGGCGAAAAAAACATCCAAACTCATAATTTGTGTATAATGCGCACCCCCTTCTACACAGCTGTGTTTTTTCGAAAAAAAAGTGCGCACTATACTCAAGAAAATACGGTACTCCCTGCCATGGAGCACATTAGAATTTCTTGTTCACATAGTAGTGAACATTAACTATAAAAAAAAAAGAGTTCTGTAAAGCCTTAAGAAGAGATAGGCACTAGGGTCGCCTTATCATTAAATGTGAAATTAATACACACAAAAGGCCCTTTCTTTGTAAAAATAATGTATGGCACCAATTCCATTGGTATGGACCAATTTTCGAACACAGTCTTGACAAGTATCTCATAGATAAGCATGCAAAGTTTCATTTATGTAACTTTAGTAGTTTCTGAGAAAAGATCTCCCAATTGCAGACACTATGCACAAAGTTGAAAAGCATGGAGCAAGGGCCATAACTCTGTAAATAAATAATTTACAGCACCATTAAGAACATGAACAGTAATATCAGTGTGCAAAATTTCATTTCTCTGAATATTATAGTTTGGGAGAAAATTTGTTTACTTTGAAAAGCAGATGGATGGAAAGAAGTAGGGATGGACGTATGGACGAACAATCGTTATTTTGTTCAAAATTTGAATTTTTATATGTTCTTATTTTCTTAAATTCAAAGAAATTTTAACTTGGTATTTTAACATTACATTTGATGCAATAAAATAGAACTGAACATAAAAGCCTATTTTGTATCGGCTGTTTTACCAGTGACATACAAGTCACCTCTACAAGGCCATCATGTCAGGTACAACTATACAGAGTACATGGAAACATCAATTTGGAATGTCTTCAATCTTACTTTGGGGATTTTCCCTGATAATTGTTGCAGACTTGGGGTCGCATAACAGTCTGAGTAGGTCTAAATAAATCACTGCTCTATGCTCTGAGAAATAAGGTAGTGTGGGTCTCCCCTTTTGCTGCCACTTTCAGAGAAACACTTTGTGTCTTGAAGGGCCGACTGCAAAATATTCTGTCTCAAACTCACATTCTTGCCCCTCCTGCCCCAGAAAATTACATGGCTGGTCCTAAAAACCAATATACTACTAGGCTCAATAAGAAGTGAACGAGCTGGGTTTAACGTCGCTTTGAACAGAATTCCTGTTATATCACGGTGCGTAAGTTTAATGTGGTAGGAAAGCCCGAGGTGATGCAGGTCTGAGACGTTTACCACTTCGGTGAAACCCACGAGCATGGTTATGGTGCTGACAGACCTAAAAACATAATTGGGGCGAACCAGAGGCGGGTTCAGGAGGGCGAGCGACCGTGCGAGAGTACAGTGAGGCAATATCACGCCTTTCTGATGGGTTCATACGTTGATGTTCATGATAACAAAGTGTTTATTTTTATTATTAGTTACATGTCCCTGTGCTGGACCACACAATCCAGCAATCGACATGAGCATCGGTCTGTGCAATGAGGATACGATGACATGCATCACCCAAGTCAGTGAGTCTTATCACTCAATCCTTACGGCAAACATATGGGTTGCGGAAGACCTATTGTCTTTCCTGATCATCACGGGTCAATATATTGAAAATGCAAAAATAACTTTTTGATGGTAGATCTAGTCTAAAAGATTATTCTTTTGACATCAGTTCCATTCTCGTCAAAGGCAAACATTTGTTCACTGTGCGACGCCATCTTGGATTACGAGGCGAACTACCTCTCGGGCTGAACACGCCTAAGGATTCAAATCCATCATCTTAGGTTTCTGGCATACCCAAGGGATGCAACTCTGTGCACAGCGAATTGCAGCAACTAAGACGACTGGGCCACCCCTGCCCCCCATCAATAAGGAAGCGTAAATAAGCTACATGGGATCTCTTATTAACTCAATTTCAGAAAACTTATTTTGGTTTGTTCCTTTTCAGGATAGAATATGGCTATTTTATATGACAAATGTAGAAATTATATTCTTAGTGTCCAGCACAGCCTAATTATTTTTCTACAAAATATCTTGTCACCATGGTGACAGACCCATCAGAAAGTTTAACATGCAAAAGTCATCACCTGTGAATTATTGTGTGTAGCACCAGGATTTGGAAGATTTGTGTTTGTTGCTTCAGGCACAACAGGAGTTGTTCCCCTTGGAGTTGGTGGGGTAGGAGTTGTTCCCCTTGGAGTTGGTGTGGTAGGAGTTGTTCCCCTTGGAGTTGGTGTGGTAGGAGTTGTTCCCCCTGGAGTTGGTGTGGTAGGAGTTGTCCCTCCTGGTAAAATAGGAGTTGTCCCCCTTGATGAGTCTAGCACAGGAGTTGTGGTCCCTGATCCATCAACAGCTTTGAGTTTCTTCTCTGCCTCAGCAACAATTTGAGCAACAACATCTGGTGATGCTGGAGTGATGTCTTTGTTACCTGAGTATTTAGGAGACAATAGTGAAATTTCATTCTAACTGACGCCAGGAGAAATGCTCACCTTCCATCTTAACTTTCTACAATCAACCCTGTTCGAAGCAGTAAATAAAAGCTACAATACCATATCCATATTCAAAGCAGTAAAAAAACATTCATGTTCAAAGTTTTCTTCTTTATTAATATCAACATGATCAATTATCGAGGCCATATTATCTAAATTATCAACGTTGTGTTCGAGTTTTAATGATAATCGCAGTTAAACTCAAGAATTGGGTCGCAATGCCCCTTTGGAGAGTAATAATAAGATGTTTCGGCTTGATGTGGGATTATAGCCTAAAGTGATGCAGGTCTTCGGGGTAAAGCATTTCGGAGTGAGTGAGGGAATGAGTTGGTATAAACACCGCTTTGAACAGTATTCCAGTTACATCACAGCATGTCAGCTTATTGTAGGAGGCAAGCCTGAACTGATGCAGGTCTCAAACTTTTACACCTTTGGTGATGCCCATGAGCACAGGTATGGTCATGACAAACCTAACAATGAAACAATAGGTTTCTGGAGTGCCAAGGGACGGAACTATGCACAGTGAATTGCGGCGCCTTAGATGACTGGGCCACCTGTGCCCTTTACGCACTTCTGGAGAAGCCCACAAAATCATATGTGTTGCTGACAGGTCAAGGATCACTATTGGGGGCAACTACAGGCCCAAATTGCTTATCCATTATGCTGTGATACTTTAGTCTTACCTATAACAGACCACTGTAATCGCAGAGCTTCTGCAACGGTCTCGAAGGAACTGTTCTCCTCCCCCTCGGGAACAGCTGGTTTGTTCGGGGGCGGTGATGTGGTCTCGGATGGCATGGTGGTGACAGCAGTGGATGTAGAGTTGATCACTGTGGTTCTCCCCACAAACTTCCTCTTCTTCTTGGAGATGTGCTGCCTGACAGCTGCAGTATTGGCAGTTACCTACAGCAGGGCAGAGGAGTAACATATATTCTCTTGTAAGGTCCTATTTCATATAAAAGTTATTGAGAGTGTTGGAGTGAGTGGTGATGTTGGGATGTGAAATGGGGTGATGTTACGTCGCATCAAGATTATTGCACATATATAGCAAAATCCACAATGTGTTTGTGTGTCACAGATTTAGAATGCTAGCACACGATGCCTTGCCACGGTTTAACATCAAATTGATCAATACCCCACTGATACAGAGTGTACTGACTCTGAGCCGACTGGTCCTTGTTTTATCCCCTTATGCCGAGGTACAAGTACCATCTTTTAACGTCTTTTGCTATGGCGCAACCAGGGACTGGACAACTGTCCTTCCTCTCTGCGGACAGACACTCCATCCATTAGACCATGGAGGCGGTCAAGTGAGTGTAGGAGTGCTGGAGTGAGTGAGTGAGTGTTGGAGTGAGTGACTAGACTGAGTAGCGATAGATCCATGATCCTCATCATTGAGGCAGGATGACACAATCAAATCACCATGGAACAAGATCCACAAAGTGTACATAGCACTACTGCATTCTAAGGTACTTTAAGATTGCAATTGTTGCATGAATGTTAGCCTCCAGGTTAGCATAGGTCTTCCGAAATCTATATACAGTCAAACACCATTGTGTCGAAGGGGCCTACCTAAATACCTGGAGTTATCTGAGGTTTGACGCAACCGAAACTGATAAATAAAGAAGGAAGATACAGGGACCAAGCTTTTACTTCGAGACTACCACAAGTTCAATACATTAAAGTTTGACACAACAACTGTATGCTTGTTTGATTGTATGCTTGTCATACGAGGCGACTATGGATTGGGTGGTCAAACAAACATCACAATGTCAGTTATCACATACCTGGGACAGGAATGCTATGACTACTGCTGCTGTGTGAGGCACAGTTATCACATACCTGGGACAGTAATGCTATGTCTGCTGCTGATGTGTGAGGCACAGTTATCACATACCTGGGACAGGAATGCTATGACTGCTGCTGATGTGTGAGGCACAGTTATCACATACCTGGGACAGGAATGCTATGTCTGCTGCTGATGTGTGAGGCACAGTTATCACATACCTGGGACAGTAATGCTATGACTGCTGCTGATGTGTTAGGCACAGTTATCACATACCTGGGACAGGAATGCTATGACTGCTGCTGATGTGTGAGGCACAGTTATCACATACCTGGGACAGGAATGCTATGACTGCTGCTGCTGTGTGAGGCACAGTTATCACATACCTGGGACAGGAATGCTATGTCTGAGGCACAGTTATCACATACCTGGGACAGGAATGCTATGACTGCTGCTGATGTGTGAGGCACAGTTATCACATACCTGGGACAGGAATGCTATGACTGCTGCTGCTGTGTGAGGCACAGTTATCACATACCTGGGACAGGAATGCTATGTCTGCTGCTGATGTGTGAGGCACAGTTATCACATACCTGGGACAGGAATGCTATGTCTGCTGCTGATGTGTGAGGCACAGTTATCACATACCTGGGACAGGAATGCTATGACTGCTGCTGATGTGTGAGGCACAGTTATCACATGCCTGGGACAGTAATGCTATGACTGCTGCTGATGTGTGAGGCACAGTTATCACATACCTGGGACAGGAATGCTATCACTGCTGCTGATGTGTGAGGCACAGTTATCACATACCTGGGACAGGAATGCTATGACTGCTGCTGATGTGTGAGGCACAGTTATCACATACCTGGGACAGGAATGCTATGACTGCTGCTGCTGTGTGAGGCACAGTTATCACATACCTGGGACAGGAATGCTATGACTGCTGCTGATGTGTGAGGCACAGTTATCACATACCTGGAACAGGAATGCTATGACTGCTGCTGCTGTGTGAGGCACAGTTATCACATACCTGGGACAGGAATGCTATGACTGCTGCTGCTGTGTGAGGCACAGTTATCACATACCTGGGACAGGAATGCTATGACTGCTGTTGCTGTGTGAGGCACAGTTATCACATACCTGGGACAGGAATGCTATGACTGCTGCTGCTGTGTGAGGCACAGTTATCACATACCTGGGACAGTAATGCTATGACTGCTGCTGATGTGTGAGGCACAGTTATCACATACCTGGGACAGGAATGCTATGTCTGCTGCTGATGTGTGAGGCACAGTTATCACATACCTGGGACAGGAATGCTATGACTGCTGCTGATGTGTGAGGCACAGTTATCACATACCTGGGACAGGAATGCTATGACTGCTGCTGCTGTGTGAGGCACAGTTATCACATACCTGGGACAGGAATGCTATGACTGCTGCTGATGTGTGAGGCACAGTTATCACATACCTGGGACAGTAATGCTATGTCTGCTGCTGATGTGTGAGGCACAGTTATCACATACCTGGGACAGGAATGCTATGACTGCTGCTGCTGTGTGAGGCACAGTTATCACATACTTGGGACAGTAATGCTATGTCTGCTGCTGCTGTGTGAGGCACAGTTATCACATACCTGGGACAGGAATGCTATGACTGCTGCTGATGTGTGAGGCACAGTTATCACATACCTGGGACAGGAATGCTATGTCCGCTGCTGCTGTGCTAGGCACACAGTGCCCATTCTGTGGGTCAGTAAGTTTGATGTAGCTGTCGTCGGGGTTGACGAGGTATCGCTGGTGTGGTGGACTGCCCGAACAGTCGGACCACACCGGGTCGATCTGGTATGCAACAGGCTGGGGTGTGTGAGTCTGGTAGTAGCTCGCTGAAACACAAACTACGACAATAAGAGATCATTGTTATGCATTAATAAGGAGCTTCACCGGCTGCCACCCACACATAGGACAGGGGTAGGTCTACACCATTGATCACATCTCAATATTCCATATTTCATTTCGGACGAGGAGCTATTTTAACACAACAACTACTCCTTCCAACTTTTCACTAGTCCTGGGCTAACAGACAAGTGTCTGTATCTATCCCTGTATACAACATCCTGTTCAATATTCTGACTCATGGACTGATGCCCACTTACATCAACGAACTCATAAAAGAACACATTCCATCCCAATCTCTAAAATCAGATAGCCAGCATCTTTTGCAGCAGTTTTGGGGATAGGTCTTTCACCAACGCTGGACCAGTACTTTGAAACCATCGTCCTAAGGGGCATGACCATAACACTAGTAAGAGTTGCAAGACCACTCTGCAATTCTCTGTGAACAGGTAACCATATGCAGCTTTAGAAATTGGTAGTCCTTGCCAAACTGCCCAATAGTTAAGGTATCATAAGCACTAGTAGACATTGCCTTTTTTAATTGTTATTATATGATATCATTACAAGGATAAGTGGACTAAAATTGTTAGTTTCTATCACTGCATATGTGCCCATGTTTTGCACCAAACTCAGTTCAAACTGACCTTAACCCAGTGGATAGTGTTGTTGATTGACACTAACACTTTTATCACATTTTTAGCATGATTACTGTTAAAACAGTACATTTATATTCCACACACAAGTGTGCTGAAAGCCTAACACCATTGTTCCCCCGTCAAAGGGGTCAACATGGTCAATGGGTCAACATGGTCAATGGGTCAACATGGTCAATGGGTCAACATGGTCAATGTGCTTGCGACATTCTCACATCCCAGGGGAGCATACAACCTAAGCTGCCTGTTGCTAGAATGTTTACATTTTCTGTCCGTTATATTCAGTTCCAATTTGTAGCAAAATGAGGAACTGGGAAATGGTTCAGAACTATTTAGTCAATGAGGACTACCATCGTGAGGATTTTACCAGCACAATTTGGATGTGCTAGCTAGCGTACCACTGTGAATGTCAAAGGCTGATCCACCTACACTCTGCGACCATCATTGCTTTTGTTTGTTTGATGTTTAACGCCGAACTCAGCAATAGTCCAGCTATATGACAGTGGTCTGTAAATAATTGAGTCTGGAGAAGTCAGTCCAGTGATTAACACCATGAGAGTCAATCTACGCAATTGGGATATGATGGCATGCATCAACAAAATCAGCGAGCCTGACCACCTGATCCCGTAAGTCAGCTCTTACCTGAGACCTGCATCACTTCAGGCTTTCCTCCCACATTAAGCTGACATGCCGTGATATACAGTATTCGACATAATAAGCGCCCAAGGCGCTCTCAAAATTAGAAATAGGAGGCTCTTATTAGTATATTATTTTGGTGAAAAAAAAACGGAATTGAAAGATAAATTTCGTGGTTTAAGCTGACATCCTGAAATGTTTATATACAACAGATATATTTTTCCAGAATTTAATTGCCCATAATTAAGGGTGCATATTACACACATCATGCTTATTGGGATTGTTCACTAGCCAATATATTAGCAAATATCGCCATGGGCACTTATTAGAACGGGGTGCTTATTACGTTAAAAGCGGTGGTAAACCCAACTCACTCACTCACTAGTCAGCTCTTACAACATACACAGTTGCCTCGCATGGGTTACTGAAGACCTATTCTAACCAAGATCTTCATGCGTCTCTAACATTGCTTAATTTGGCCAGACTAGTTATCTATGTGACACTATATACAAGATCATGTGCCACCAAATACACACTATGTTCTGCTAGTATACTGTCATGCTGGCAATATGTCAAAACGCATTTAATTTTTAAATGTAAATTCCTCTCATATCACATTTTGACAAAGTGATCAATATTTCCATGACTACTATCTATTCCATTAATTACCAGTGATATTTTTTCCATGACAATGAAATGCTCCAACTGAATCCCTCCAAGTAGTGTCCCAGACACAACAAACCAGACCCACTTGGGCAAAAATATACAGTGTACATGGTGTATAACAGATATATTCAGCAGCTGATATGTGTTACCATAATCTTGACAATTCAAACACAATGAGACAACTCGTGGATGGCTTGACACTGCATAACATGAATACATGTTTTGAATTATCAATCAGTTTGAATATTAATGCATATGACAATACAATCTGCAGCCTTAGGGCTTTCACTGGCTGTGGATGATCCACGATGATGATGACAGCTACCAGTTTCTAGCACACTGACAGAAGCTATCAAATAGCCAGATGGGGCAGCACAAATGGCACGGACACAATATAATCAGATTCATATCATGGTTATATTCAAACAGTACCATTCAAACAGAGGACCAAATAAGCTGTGTATCAACAATCCCCAATTAATGTTGACTTGCCTGCGTACAAATATGCATGAAAATTTAAAAAAACCTAATAGCATAACATCACTCTGCTTGCTTACTCTGTTTCCTTGTCAACTAACATAACTGTATTTCTTTACAAATCTTTACTTATTAATCGCGTGCAGGCATCACACATCCACCGTAAATCGCTGTCTATAAAGCGACCCCGCCTATAAGTGCACCCGCTGTTAAAGCCTTCAAAATGGATGCTAATTTAAATACCCTGTCTATAATGTGATCCGGAATGAAGCACATCACCAGCGCATGCACAATCCCTACATTTGCAATGAAAATATGTTGTCTGTTGTTGCTTGCTTATAAAACATTACATCGTATTCCTTCTGTGAATTTAAATAAATGAACAGGTGATACAAATTTGGTCAATACAAATGAGGTAAAACATCACAAACATAATGATTTACCATATATATTGTATTTCCTGTTCTGCTTGGCATTGCTTTATATGCAGAGAACAAGATTATGGTGTGTATATTTACATAAACTAAGCCGGAAACAGCAATCAGCTGTACACACATACAGGCGATTCGGTTAAAAATTAACCAATGATATAGCCTTAAAGAATATTGATGCAATAATGGGAAGAATTGTTTCTGAAACTATTATTTTTCCAGGAATAATATATTCAAATATTGTGTTATTATAGGTGCAGCTTTACCAAGTTTACTATATAGAGAATCTCACCCGAGAGCCTTTTGATATCAAATATATCAACACGAGTTGATAAAAGTGGAAAAATTCTGAGGCTTGCTGAATGATTTACGATGATAAATAGAATCTCACACTTGTGTCTTTTGATATGAAATATACAGTAAACTATGGTTAAAACGAACTCAAAGGGACTACTAATTGTAGTTCATCATAACTGTAGTTCGTTATAAGCATATACACAGCATATATATCATAATATATAGCAAAGGACAGGGCCCAAAACCAGTTAGTTATCAGTTTGTTATATCTGTCAGTTAGTTATAAGAGTGTTTGTTACAACTGTAGTTTAAAGTACCAACACTTCAAAACACAAAAAATGAATTGAAATTTGAGGCTATTAGCATGATTAGTATTTTCATTATTTGTTTTTTAGTTTTGTTTTGTTTGTTGCAATATTCCAACTGTATGATGGCGGTCGGTAGATAATCGAGTCTGGAGCAGTCAATCCAGTGATTGACATCATGCGCATCGATCCACACAACTGGGATACGATGACATGCATCAACCAAGTCAGCGAGCCTGACCGTCATTATCTCCTCTTACGACAAGAATAGTCACTTTTTACTGCAAGCATGGGTTGCTGAAGACCTATTCTACCCCGGATCTTCACGGGTCTTGCATTATTTGGGTCACTCTAGCTGTTGCAATAGGTAGTGGTGTAACGATATGGCAATACAGTATTGTATCGCGATACAAGGCCTATGATACAATACATATCGATTTATGATACATACCATACATTTCATCATGTCCATTACAAGTTATATTGATGTAAAAACATGTGAGTAATGAAAGAAATTGTTCAACCACCAGCTTATGCAGATTCTCTAATATTTCAGGCTTGGACATAATGGGCACAGTGCCCTCAACCAATATGTTTCTGCGATACATTGTCCCATCTTTGATCTTTGAAATTTCATAACAAATGATTCAGTGCTGTGATTCACTTGCAAAAGGAAAAAATATCCGTGAAATAAAAGTACTGTATCAGGATACAAATTGTATCGTACCCATAGTATCAGGATACGTATTATATCGTATCGCAACCCCACCGAATTGTTACACCTGTAGCAATAGGCATAATCAAAATGCAATAGCTAAGAAATCGTTACAAACGATATACCATACCTTAGTCTGTCTCACAGTCACTGAACCATATTATTTTCCCTTGCATCTAGCCCTCACTGTAATACTCAAGCCCTAAATGAAGCAAGTCTAGATTTTCCGGGGATTATCTCCCTCCTCACTGGGAATCCTTTTCAATTTAATCAAGTTCATTGCTTCTATAAAAAATATTATTTTCGGAGACTAAGTGTTAGTCTATCCAGTATCTTTACCTCCCACCATGCCTTATAATAAAAACTTCCTGCCTTTGTTCAGTGATACTCAACTCAACATGTCAACCAGTTGCTAGATTACGCAGACTGCCCAGTATCCTCTGAGTGACTGAGGCTGGTCCCACAGATAAGAGTTTGCTATAATTAAAGTTAACATGGTTAACATGTCCGGTGTCTCCGGTGATTTCTTATCTGTCAGTCATCATGGCCATATGTTCATGCAGCACAAAAAAATACCGTCCATGCCGGTCAGTTTCCTTGTGACCAATGGCAATGTAGCAGTAAAATAGTGTATTTTCCCATGATGCCCAGATGACTTATAGAAAGAATGTAAAAAAACGAAGCATGATAAGCAGATCATCAGCTTATCAAGCAGGGCAAAACATCAGTACTGGTGAGTATGAGGTGAGGTGAGGTGAGGTGAGGTGAGGTGAGGTGAGGTGTGGTGAAATAGGGTTTAACGTCGCGTCC